TCACTGTAGAGAGAGTCCAAAAGTATATGAGAGTCCAAAGTACTTTCTATGGGAGTTCTTACATTCTGTTCTCTAGCTGATCTAAAACAGCTGTTTTTTCACTTGGTTCCATTTTCTACATGAGCCAGGATAATCTAGGCCTGGCTCTACAGTCAAATTAGCTTTTCTGTTATGAGCAATCTGCCATAGCTAGACCTGACTAGAGAAGTGATCTCATCTGAGAATTCTGTATCAAAAAGAAGTTTAGTAATTTTGTAGAAGTTACACAGAAAGTTAGTGGCCAACTGGAATCTATAATTTCTGATTCTGTTCTTACAGTTGTATTTTGCTGCCTTTTCCGTCATAAATATGTATGCTGAGTATCAAATGAGATAAATGTCAGTATGTGTTAATAGGCATAAATATCATAAGTTAAATCATTTCCATTTGCTTTCTATTATCGGAGACATATATGATCCTTTGCATTGTCATTTCTTGATTCTAAGACTCTTGGAAGCAGAAATATTTCTTATTTTTTTTTTGTCACTGAGCTCAAGGCCAAACCCTGATACATGTTGAGACTGAAATTCTTTCCATTATTTTTTAGGGACACATAATTAAATTGATTTTCTAATAAAAAGTTTATTCTTTTATATTCAGACTAGGGACTTATTATAGTAGTTTTCTCACTAGCTTCTTGGGAGCTGATTAATACATAAATGAAAGAAAACACTCATTTGTGATTTTAGCAATTTTTAAAAATCTTATTGTGACTCTTCAAGTTGACAAATTTCATGGTTAATTAAAGAGTCAGATTTTGCCCAGGATGAAATCTCACTCTTTTTAGCTTTGTGGGCATTGTCAGTTTTTAAAATGTCTCTGTGCCTTAGTTTCATTATTGTTAAACTCGGCATAATGTGCTTAAGTTATAATTGACCACTGGACCATGGACTTCTTCACAATAACCATGTGACACAGGTGAGGAAATGAAGGCATGCTAGCTAACAGATAGTTAGCTAAAAAGGTGAAATTCAAACTCATGTAGTATAACTCCAGAGTCCATAATTTTTGAACATTTTGTGCTACTACCTTCACTATTTTGTAAGTTGTTCAGAGGAGAAAATGAGATGGTGGTATGTAGAATGCTTGGTACAATTTTGGTTTTCAGAGTTTTTTAAGTTTTTGAATTGTGAATAAAGTTTTATACATCTAGAGACTAGCTAATTTAGGAAGAATTATGGATCTATAGCTGTCTTTGGTTGTAAACAGTTTTATTAGAAATTAAAGGATCACAGGCCCTAACCCAGATATACTAGATCAGAATCTACACTTATGGCCCAAACAATGTATGCACATATGAATAAATGAATAAAGAAAAAAACCAAAGTTTATACGCAGTACAATAGATGATCTTGAAGGATTTTTGGATTAACCACCATGTACATTTCAGTGTTGATTTTTGTATTTTGCAGAGAAAGTAATAATATGAAGAGTTATTTTAAACTAGCTTTGTAGTTTTATTTCTGTTTTTTGGCTCCCATTTTAGGTTAACTCTTGGTAATACCTGCTTGAATTTGTAAAAGTTTTTTTTCACAGTACAAAGTTATTCCAATTTTATCATCCTTTATGATTTGAGGAAATAATTAGAAGACAAAAAATTAGATCAAATATTTAATAATATGAAAACTTCTTGCACAGTGCACAATTCTAATGTTTCAGTGAATAGTACATTTGAAATTAGCAGTTATAAAATTTAACAGCAAAGTAAATGAGCACTTGACTCATTATATTAGAAATGTTTAATTTTATTAGTCTACGGAATTTAAAAATTTCTCTCAGAGCTGCAGATGTAGCTCAGTGGTAGAACACTTGTCTACTGTGCCCAAGGCCCTTGGTTTGCCTGGGTTGGATCTTCAACATTGCAAAAAAAAAAAAAAAACCCACAAAATAAAGCATAAATCAACAGCAAAGTAAATTTTTTTTCTCTCGAATTAAGAAAGGTGTTGTCTCATAGTTTTTTTTTTTTAATGTGATAGTAATATCTGATTAAGTTACTGTTAAATCCACGAATTTTGTTCAAGTGAATGATCAGGAGGATTTTATTTGTGTATGTGATTTTTTTTTTTTTTTTTTTTTAAGTTGTACTGGGGTTTGAAATCAGTGCCTTTATGCTTGCTAGGGCAGGCACTCTACCACTTGAGCCACTCTGTCAGCTGAGAGAGAGGGGGTTGGGGGAGAGGAAGAGGGAGGGAGGGAGAGATTTTGCTGCCCTTTTCAAATGAGAAATAAGAGATGTGTAAGAATCTGAAAAGTTGAGTTTTTAGGACAAAATGAGGATCTCCCCTTGTTACCTAGTTGCTTCATTAATCTTCCCCATATCAAATAATTGTGATTACGTTTTTTGAAAATTTAATTGTGAAAGATATGATTGAAACATAAGAGTAAGTAAAATATTTATGTAGTTAAAACCAGATACTTGATGAATAAGAGGTACTTGAGAAGCCCCTGATGTGTACTTCCAATTGCATGCTCCTTTATCCTCAGACATCATCACTTTCCTTCGTTTTATTTTTAAAATCTCTGAGTATATCTTTTAACAGTGAATTGTTTAATTTTGAATAATTGGCTAGCAAGTATACCTTAACTATGTATAGAAAGGGCAATATTGCTAATATTAGATTATCACTGGAGGAGGTAGGCTGAATAAAATATCTGGGTCAAAACTAGTTTCAGCTTTCTGGACAGTTTTCAAGAACTCTTTTTTCTTGGGATATTAGTGGCTAAAATTTTTTTGTGGGTCTTGGGAACTAGCATCTGTTTCCCATAGTTGGGCATCTGGCAATACTGTAGTATAGATCCAGGAACTGTATGTTCAGCAGAAGTATTATCAGAGAGATTGGGCTGCTCTGCTTTGTTCTAAATTACTATGTCCTTCTTTCAGTTCTTAGAAGGAAGTCAGAGGAGACTACTTTTGTAGTGAAATAGTATTCCTAACTGATTGAGGAAGGAGAACATGAAGGCCAAGCAAAAACTTCATTAATGGGCATTGTGTGCTCTGGTTGAAAGGTAATAGTGGCCAGGTTAAGGAAAAAGGGATAATAAAAATACAAATCAACATTCTTGCCAGCCCTAGGGGGGAAAAATGGAATACCAAAAAGACTCCGATGAAGGACATAGAAGAAAATATGAATAAATGGAAAAATATTATTTTGCCAGAAGACTTGCTTTTTCAAATAAATTCTCTTTAAACTGTGTCCAGAATTTGTGATGTTATGTCATTTATTCAGACATAAGAGCTGCTTACACCTAGTCCTCTACAGTGCTTCATTTTTCTCCATAGCACTTTTCACCATCTGGTAGTACTATACATTTCTGTATTTGTGGCTTTCTCCATTCCAGAATGTAATCTTAGGAAGATAGGTGAACTTAAGGAGGATGTGCTTGATTCTCTTCCTTGCTAGAATATACTAATGGAGTATATATATTGTTCCTTGTGGTATTCCTAGAACCTTCAGTTGTGCTGTAGCACATAGGAAGCATATTCATGAAAGCATGAATTAAAAATTAACTCTTCTTTCTCTAATAACCACAGTACTTGTTGTCAATTCCATAGATTTTTGGTCATTAATTTTGTTCAGTTTAGCATCATTACAATGCTTTCTATTATTTTCTTTTAGTTCAGTATCTAATTGTTTCATTCCTATTAGACATTCTTCTCTGTACTCCATTGATGGCAGGAGTGGGACAAATGCTTTCTTTGTATACCTCACAGTGAAGGGCAAGTGGATGTAGGAATGTGCTAAAACTTGCTGAATTGAATACATTTACTTATTTGTAATGACTTAAACTGCTAAAATCTAATTTGCCCTGAACAGAAGGAGTACTTTTACTAGGTAAAACAGGATAATTCTGTATGAAATAATTTTTTTTTAATGATGGGGACTTTTTGGAAATGCTTTTGTTGAACTTATAATAAATTTTGGTAACTAGAAATTCGAACTTTTAGAATTTCTAAAAGTTTCTGCACACCATTTGAGTAAAATAAAATACAGGCTCACACCTGTAATCCTAGCTACTCAGGAGGCAGAGATCAGGAGGGTCAAAGTTCAAAGCTATGGGCCAGGCAAATGGAGAAGACCCTATCTCTAAAAACTCAACACAGAAAAGGACTGGTGGGGTGGTTCAAGTAGTAGAGTGCCTGCCTAGCAAGCATGAGGCCCTGAGTTCAAACTCTACTACTGCCCCCACCACCAAAAAAAAATCAATTTTCGGTGAACTGCAGATTTCTTACCTTGAAATTTTAATTTTTTTTTACTTTGAGGTATGGGGGTTTGAACTCAGGGTCTACACCTTGAGCCACTCCACCAGCCTCCTTTTGTTTGTGATGGTTTCCTGCTCCTCCCTGCACCGCCCCCCCAAGGGTAGGGTCTCAGGAAGTATTTGCCTGGACTGACTTCCTCCTGATCTCTGATCTCTGCTTCCTTAGTAGCTAAGATTATAGGCAGGAGATGCCAGTGCCCAGCAGAAATTTTAATTTTTTAAAAAGTCTCTATACTGTAGTTCTTGGGAGTTAGTTTTAAAATGATGTATTAATTCTAAATACACATTAACTTTGCCTACTTAACCTTTTATATATGCTTTTGCAAATATATGCAAATATTTTATAAACATTTTGTTATGGTTCCCAGCTTTCCATTTAATAATATGTATAACTATTTTTCTCTGGTATCTTTGCATTACCACTAGATTTCATTTTAATCATTGCTTATGTTCTATAAATCTCTTTTGTGTATTGTTTTTTGGAGATAAATTTCCAAGAGTATATTACATTTCCAGAAGCAAATATTTAAGTATTTACTGAAATAATATGATAAGAGTCTAAAAGGAGAAACTTTAAACTATGTTAAAAGTTTTATTGGTTCATTTCTAGGCTGCTGCTCTATCACTTGAGCCATACCCCCAGCCCCTCTAATTCATATAAAGATTTATTTATTTTGTTTTTATTTTTTGCTTTATTTCAGGCAAGTCTGTCCATATGGGGATGGGGAAGCCTTGGCATTGTCCTTTTCCTAATAACGTTTGGACCCTTTGTAATATTTTATCTGGCATTTTATATCCTCTGCTTTGTGGGTGGGTAAGTATACTTAATGATAATTAGATATTTCATGTATCATGTCTTATTCAAAATGACTGTGAGAAATGAAATGAGTATGAGAACTGGGAGTATGATTTATTTCTGAATGCTATTTTCACAAATTGTGCTTATCAAAGTTTTTTTCTTTAAAGTAAAATTAATATACCCATATTATCAGAAGTACAGTTGGTTATCTTCAAAAATAAAATTTCAGTTTCTGAAGATATAAATTTTTTGCGATAATATGAAAAGTTATTCCCCTTTTAAAGTTGAAATTTTTTTATCCGTTGTGATAACTAAGATAAGTTAATTTGTAATGCCACATCAAGTTTTGCATTGTAGAAGATACCATTTTATTGATTAGACTTCAAATAATAATGTTAATTATTTCTTCTAATAAATACTGTATTTTGGCAATTTAAATAAATACCTGGTTTTACAGTTTTCTCTTTATGGTTATTTGGTTTAAAATGTTTATGTTTTCCAGCCATACCTTATTACAGCTTTGTACACAGAGCATTTGGTGTCTGTCAAGAATTGTAAGAAAATGTATAGATAAGTGAAATGCTTATTTATACAATCAAGATATTTTGCTGAAATGAGTATGTTGTTAATGTGTATACATTTATTTTTAAGTAATTGGTTGGAGCCTATAGGTTTAGAGGATTTAGCGGGAGTGACACATAAACAATGGTGTGAAAGACTGTATATGACTCTGAAGTGGTGACTTCTGAATATACTTACTGCCTATCACCTCTTGCAGGGTACAGTTTCGAAAGTCCTGTGTGGTCATTCTATAGAGCACACACTCACTGATGAGCAAGTGAGAGTTACTTAAGCAGTTATGTCAAAGACTCTTATATGGAGAGTCTCCATTATTTTCATAATGATTGCCTGGATAGGATATTTTGTACTGAAGTAATTAAACTTTTTTCAGCCACAGAAGTTAGATAAAATGGAGCTCAGAATATCTTTATTGATAAAGATGATTTAAGACTGTACAGGTCTGCAACGAGATGGGCTTTAAAACTACACTCCTCATTTACAAATTAAGGGCACAGCATGGGATAGCTGCATGGTAACCCCTTTCCCCCACATCAAGTCTGCTTTCACTGATTAAGAAGGAAATTATTTGTTTTAAGGAGTTGTTTCTCACAAAGGGAGAGATTGCTTTTAATTTCACTAATGAATTAGTTCCTGTCAGTAGTGAAGGAAAAGGTTTTAAAAATATTTTCCAATACTTTGAAAAGGGAGGAAATTGCAACTTTAGAGATGAAGTTAAGAGTGCTTGGAAGACCAAGGGATGAAGAATCATTTCTTTTATGTTAAACTCCATATAAAATTTGAGAAACAAAAGAAGGTGATCAGCCTACTTATTTTGAAGTTATGGGTAGTTTTATTTCTCTCAGAATCTGCTACTTTGTCAAGAAATAATTTAAAAAATCTTTTGGATACTTAACAGAATTCTGTAAAATTTTAGGTGAGGTGTTTATTGGAAGGTATGGGATGAGCATTGAAAACTTATTAGATATTTAGAGTTCCTTCCCTTCCCTTTCTCCTTTTACCTTCTCTTCCCCTCCCCTCCCCTCCACTTCACTCCCCTCCCCTTTCCCCTCTTCCTCCCCTTTCTTTCCTACTGGGGATTGAAGTCAGGAACTGATAACTTGCTAGGCAAGTGTTCTGTCACTTGAACCACATCCCTGGTCCTTACTGTGTAAGATTTTAAAGATGTGTTTTTGTTGTTTTCCTTAAGCGTGCAAAGTTTGAAAGGAATTAATATACTTTCCTGTGGACCCCTTCCTTTTTGTTAAAAACTTAAGTTTTAAGTCTGCAGTTGCAATGTAGTTGGACTTGGGTCACATGATAAGGGGTGAACACTCACGAGAAGTATAGGGATAGGTAAGAAACCCAAAACATGAAAGTATTTTGTGTCCCTGATATAGAGGAACTAATACAGAAACCTTAAGGTGACAGAGTTCAACATGAGAAGGGGATCAGGAACTAGTCAAAAGGTCAGTCAGAGATGAATTAACTTGGGATGTAACACAGTGGTACATAATAAGCAATGTTAGGAATCTCTCCGTATAGCTATCCTTACCTCAACTAGCAAAAACGCGTTGTCTCTCTTTTTATTGCTTTTGTTTCTCTCCAACAAAATTAGAGGTAAGGGCAGAACAGATTCTGCCTGGAAGCAAAGGGGGGTGGGGGGGAGAGGGAGGGAGTGGGAATGGGGGAGGAGGTAGGGAGAGTGATGACCCAAACAATGTATGCACATGTGAATAAATGAATATTAAAAAAAAAGTCTGCAGTTTACTCATTGTAAACTGTTGATAATGTATGGTTTTTTTCTTATAATTAAAGCTAATTCATTGTTTAATGTAAATAAAACTTGGAAAGAAAAGCACAGATGTTTTGTTTTTACTGTGGGAAATTGTCAATATCATATTATGGTTATTTAATGGCATTTTGTTTAATTTGTTGGCTTATATAATCATTTGTAGCATCTGTTTTTACTTAAACCTCATAGCTAAACTATTAATTAGATTCTCTAATTTCAGACTGTTCCTTAGTTTGTCATGTTGTACCATGGGCAATGGTTAATGTTTTATTAGCCTGTTTCATAATGATGTTGTTTAGGAATACAAGGTTAACTTAATATAAGTACTTTATTGTGCTTGTAAGTGTGCTTAATAACCAAGTAAAACTGAAATATAGGGCCAACTGGAATCTTAGTAATAATATTAGCTATGACAGGTAGGTGAAATTTACTGATCATTCCAAGGCCGGCCTCTAAAAAAACAAAAACAAAATTAATGACAGGAACTGACCTTACCCTTTATGGTACCTGTACTTGAAGATTAGTGAAATGGCAGGTGGTAGTAACAAAAAGTTGAAGACTTTGAGAATCTTCTTACTTTCAGTAGTTGAGGTTGACCATATTTGATGATTTCACTGTTCCTTTCTTGTCACTGCTGTTTTGGAATCATTATAAGACTACTATGAAATTATTATAAGGTTAAAATTTCATTTTCTTTTATGGATTTCTGAGGATTTTGATTTTAAAATTTAAAAACACAAATAGCAAGAGTATTTAGTCAGTACTTACTGTAATTTTAAAGTAGTATTGTTGTAGCTTATTCCTTTGTTTTAAAAATAATGAATGTTTTGGAAATAAATTTATATTTCTTTTCATAATTTCTGCCTTATTTTAAAATCATTCATAAACTGGATCACTTTTTCCTTTATAGCTTTTTTGTTTATTCTGTGGTAATAGCAACAAATTAATATTAATACTTCACCTTTAATTAACTTTAATTAATTTAACAGAACTGTAGAATTAGGTTATATAGCTATAGATTTAGATCTTTTTTGTCTTTATCCTTGTGAGTAGGTAGTCTGATTATTTAATGAGGACTGATTTTTCTAAAGTTTGAAAATTGAGATTCTTTCTTCATGAAATAATATTTGATTAAAATATTATAGACATTATATAATTCACAAAATTTTTACAGCTGTCCTAAACAAAGCAATTTCTTGTTTTGCCAAATTTCCAGACTATATTTTTAATGAATACACCATAAATTCTGAAAAGTAATTTGAATATAGATATGTTAAGGTATAGAAATATTTTGCCTTTGTATCTGTAATTACTTTTTTTTTTTTCCTCTCTAGGGGTTTAGTGGTTACTCTTCTGTTTGGAAAAACAAACTCAGAAAAGTACCTAGAGCAGTGTGAACACTCATTTCTTCCTCCAACATCAACTGGGGTTCCTAAGGTAAATAGTGTGAAGAATGTAAAACTGCAAAGCCCAGTTCTTTGCAGTGATGATAATGTGACAACCTGTATGGTTGGCAGATTTTCCTGTCCATTAATGCACACTATAAATGTATGGAAGAATGTGTGATCATACTTAATTTTTAAAAATTTTGCCTTAAAAACTTTCTTTGTGTTAGATGTGAAAAAGTGGGAAGGCAAATTCAAGGGAAAATAGTCGGTTAGGTGGTTAGTTGGTTAGTTTAATGTGGATGTTTTTTCCTGCTGTTTTAACAGCGAATGTCAAAACATTATACATATGTACTGTATTACTTTCCATTATTGAAAAGAATTTCACTCCTACTGACTTTCATAGTGATAATCTTTTCTAATACTATAACTTTCTTCTTAGTACTGTATGTTTATTATAATTATAATGCATATTAATTATACAGATTTAAGGGTTTCACTGTGACATTTCCATATATGCATATGTCATGCTTTGATCATATCCTCTGTTCTGTCCTCTCTTTCTTTTTTCTCCTCTTCTCTTTGGTTCCTTCCCTTTCCTAATAGTCCCTCTTTTCAGGTTGTCTTTTTTTTTTTTTCCATTTTTCTTTTTTAGGTTTTACATATGATACTTGTTTTTCTGTCTGTCAGGCTTATTTCGCTTAACATGATGTCCTCCAGTTTCATCCATCTCCCTGCAGATGATATGAGTTCATTCATGAGTTCACTTACATATGCATACCGTATTTTCTTTATCCGTTCATCTGTTGATGGGCTCCTAGGCTGATTTTATATCTACTTGGCTATTGAGGATAGTGCTGCAGTAAATAAACATGGTTATGCAGATTATCTCTTGTATACTGACTTCAGATAAACACCTAGTAGTGGTATATCTAAATCTAATACAACTTTTTTTATAATCTGAAACTTTTCTCTCTTCCTTTAGAAGGTTTATTAATATGTATTTGAGTTTCTAAGGAAATGGACCTTTTCTTTTGTTTTGAAATATTTTTTAGCCATTCGTCGTTTCCATTCATTTGAGAGAATGGGAAATATCTTGAGAATTAAGATACTAAATAGTAACAAATCATAGTGAAAACTAGTTACATCTTCATAACCCATTTTTAGTAGATGGTATAAAATAAGTTTCAATTTGCTATTTCAAAAATATTATTTATAAGTATATTTTGTGAAGATATTTTAGTGGTTTTATGTTATACCTTAAAGTGGATATTGTATGTTAGTCATGCATTTTAACAAAAGGGATATGTTCTGAGAACTGCATGGCTAGATGATTTTGTCATTTTGTGAGCATCATAGAGAGCACATACAAACGTAGATGATAACAGCTTATTACACACCTAGGCTATATGGTCTAGCCCATTGCTTCTAAGAAGCAAAACTGCATAGTACGGAATACTGTGGCCACTGGAACATAGTGATATATGTGCATCTAAATATAAAATGGTGTGAATACTGTATACACATGTATGTAAATGGCAAAATGAGACTTGTTGAAACTATTCCAGGAATGGGGGGAGAGGAGATAAAGGAGAAAGATGTAGTGTGAGTTCAAGTATGATGTATTGCAAGAACTTTTGTAAATGCCACAATGTACCCCCAGCACAATGATAAAAAAAAATTAACCCCCCAAAATCCCAAATTAATCAGAAAAACAAAAAGAAGAAAGAAAAACTACAGTAAAAATATGACCTGAAAGATAAAACATGACACACCTCTTACCCTCTTATAAGCCAGTTACCATGAAACCATGAATGGAGGTTGCAGGACTGGAAGTGACTCTGAATGAATCAACGAGTGAAGGTCTAGGACATTATTGGACAGTACTGTAGACTTTATAAACACTGTATGCTTAAGGTACACTAAATTTGTAAAATATATTTTTATTCAGTAATAAATAAGCTTTAGGTTACTGTAACTTTTTACTTTATAAAGTTTAAAAATATTTAAAACTTTTTGTACTTGTTTATAACACTTAGATGAAAACACAAAATACCATATAAAGATAGAAGAGGACACACACGCTAGTCTGAACCTCCACATTGTGCTCCCTTGGAAAGCTTTCAGGAGCAGTAGCACATACATAGAGATTCATCTCCCATGACTTGCTGCTGTTCTTCTTGAGACAGTGTCACTTTTTTCAGAAGCATTTCCATGGTGGTTTGCTTGGTTCCTTTTTTCATCATGGATTTCCTTATAAGTACATAATGCACTATGAACATTCCTTTCTACATGAACATTCCTTTCTACTAATGAAAGCCTTTTAGTTCTGGGGTCCATGTTTTCATAATTTTAGGTCAGCAAAAGCTTCTGTTAGACCATTCACTGAATTGTAAATTTTATCCATCATTACTAAAATGTTACATGGTGAATGACTGTACATATGTTACTTAGATTTATATTTTGAAGAGTCTCTCATTACTTTTACCTATTCCCAGCTATTGATCTTTCTAAGAGTAAAGAAAAACAGAGGAGTTTATCTTCCTTAGTTCTTAAAATTGTCCCTAAATAAAGCCATTTAAAAATATATTCACTTTGCAGCTGGTGTACTGTTTATGAGTAGAGAAGGAGGTAGAGTTTCAATAAAGAGATATTAATTTGACTCACCTGGGACACTTAATTTTAGAGTTTTAAAGTTTCATTGAATTATGACATTAATATACCCCTACATTTTCAGTTTTCCCTCATTGTAAATAATGTTTGCTAATTTAGATTCTTGAGGATAATAATATTTTTTCTGGATGTCTACTTTAGTTAGTTTGAGAAATAATACTTTGCTTATGTTAGAGTCTCAAATTATTTACTGACTTGAAGATAATGGAAGGAAGTTACAATGAATTGAATTTGAAGTAAACCTGAGAGATTTTAAATCAAGAAACAACTGAATAAAATATTACGATTTCTTTTAAGTGTTTAGAAGAAATGAAACGGGAAGCCAGGACTATTAAGATTGATAGAAGATTGACAGGTGCCAACATAATTGATGAACCTCTCCAGCAAGTGAGTTTCAGTATATGGTATTGAATTTCATATATTGTGTGCTAGGTATACATGCTAACTATACTAGAATAAACATTTTGGCTGTTTAAATAAATGCTGGGATTTTATGATAATGCTGTCCTTGAATTTTGAACTTACAGATGTTGTTTTATAAAGTACCTATAATGAACTGGTTTACTTATGAAAGCCTATAATTAAATCCGTATTTTGAAAAAAAGTTTTGCTGACATTTGATAATGTTTTTAATAATTTTATCACTAAAAGTATTAAAGTATTGTTCTCGCTGATGAACAGCTTAGTAGTTTGGTAGATCAGACTTTTTTTCTATTAATTTTATTACTTAAAAAAATACAAATACTTGGTTTGATTTAAAAAAATGTTTAAAAATTAGAATTAGGGAAAAAGTTATTTCCCCTAAATATTTCTGTTGCTTTTGATTATATGATCATTATATAAATATTTTTTGCTTTAAAAATTTAACATTTATTTAATAAATGAATGCCTACTTAGTTTATCTGATTTGCAAAAATTGTGCATCGAGTAAAATTATTTCTGTTTATGGATTAACAGTGCTATTGACTATCAAAAATATTAGCAAAATGAAGTGTACTGCATTTTTTTTAATTAGACTGTAATGGATCTGATGATATAATCTTGGAAAAAACTTTGGTTTTTTTGAGAATTAGTGTCCATCAGCATTATTTTGCATACCATTTCATCAAACTGATTTAAATCATTCATATTATAGTACTGAAAAAAATTTTTTTTTCTGCAAACTTTGTCTTTACTTCAACTTGGATAAGATTTGGCCATAGACAGTGTTTTAATAAAGAAAAAAAAATGGGGCAGTGGATGAGTTGGGATACTAGAATAATTAGAAAAATTTTGAAATGGTTTTTAGCTTGATGATGTTTTTATAATGAAATCAGGGATTTACTATTACATTTTAAGATGTACAGAATAAATAAAATATGTCAGATAATGGTCTTTGATTTTGATTTGCTGCTGTTACTTTAAAAACTCTAAAACCCTGGTTTTTCCCAATATTTTTGTTGCAGGTTATCCAGTTTTCCTTGAGGGATTATGTCCAGTATTGGTATTATACACTAAGTGATGATGAGTCTTTTCTTCTTGAAATTAGGCAGACTCTTCAAAATGCACTCATTCAATTTGCTACTAGGTAAGGTTGCTGCATTATATTTATGCAGAAAAATGTAGATACATTATTTACTCCAGTAGAGAAAATAACTTTAATTGAGAGAGGATTGTTGACTAAAAGGTAAGTAGAATAGTAGATTATTATTGTGGGATAACTCCCAGATTACAGAACTGGAGCCCCTACAAGCTTTAAATTATCCTAGATTTGAAATTTTTATAGAATTCTTGCCTTAATTAAGCCCTGTTCTCAGTCTGTATGTCAGATTTTTTGCATACAGTGTCTAAATAGGTGACTTTTCAAATCGTTTACTCCACTTACTGATAATACCTTTCTCCCCTCTTTTGTGGATGCTCTTATTTTATTAAAGTGCTGTGCTATGGAAGTATATTAGTTTTGGTATAACTGCTCTTCCTCAATGCAATTTCAGTACAGCTGTTTTAACATTGACACATACCTGGTAGAAGTCCACTTCAAGGGAGGAGAGGAACCAAAGGAACATAAGTCAGTGCAGAATATTCAGGTTTTTTGTTTGTGTGTTTATTTATGTTATAAGAGAAGTATATTTTGAAGAGTGTTTTAAGAAACTTTTCTTGTGAAATATACTAAAATACTGACTTTACAAACAAGAATGTGTACTTCTTTCCATATGACAAAAGTATTCTGGCCAATATTCCTTGTGCTTAAACTACTTGACTTCTGGAGGGTAGAGGACCATTTCATACGTGTTTAAATTAATGTTGACTTTCGTTTTTGTTATTGAAAAATCTTTTAATTCACAACCTTGTATGAAAGGGAAAAGTTGTACTCTAGAAATTATTTTTGAAAGAAAAGATTTTGTGTTTAGATGACTTTGTAGATACTTTTTTTTCTAATGTAAAATATTTTACTGCCCAGCACACATAGAGGTTTCTCTGCTAGCCTGTATTCTCAATGGGTATGCTCTCAAATTTGAAGATTGCATTCTCCAGCCAATCTAACTTCTCATCGTTTGGGTTCTTTATAGTACTGTCTTCTGATTCTAAGTCCTTGAGAATAGAGCTTTGCCCTAGGACTGCTAAGTTTTCTGTAGGTATTTTCATCTTTCCCTGTCAGAACCTTTCCTTTATAACTCAGTTGATCCTAAAGGTTTAGATTGGGAGGAGGGAGGGAGAAGGATGAAATATGTTTCTTAGTGTCAGGTCATTGGGGAGCCTTGCACGAGGTTTGTGGTTTGGATAGTAATACTAGTTATAGAGAAAGATTTGTACTCCTTCTTCCTCATGATTAGCAACAAAGAAACTCACCATTCAGAATTACTGATGATGCATACTCACCATGGAACATAGGAAATATAATTAGTCTTATCAATGAATTTCAGAAATTGGATTTTATCTCTTGTATTTTATATGCATCATTATTGAATGTCAGATTTTTCTTTCCATAGAATTATTCTGAATAATTATTCACTAATTGTTTTCTGTAGTACTACTATCCTAATGATTTTTATTTTTTCATTGAATGGGTAGGAATAAAAAGAGTTCATTATTCTTGTGTGTGACCACTTAGGATCATATTAAAATGTAACAAATTCTTGGCCTGGAAAGAAATTTGAGCTAGTAATTTGAAACCTTGAGTTTGTATTCTAACTTTACCACTTAGTTGTGGTACTGTGAGCAAGTAGTTTAAAGTGAGTGTAATAATATCCGTCTTGTTGTGTGTTTCTCACAAGTTTTTGTTAGGATCAAACTCATGTATTCGTTCAACTAATATTTTGGGCTGACTCTGTACCAGGTGCTGGGGATACAGCAGTGAATAAAATTTAAGTTTCTTCTCAGTAATGATATGCATGTCAATGTTGCGAAAATTGTGAGTGAATTTAGAAATTTAATTGTTACGACATCCAATGCACATAATTTCACAGATAAGAAAGCTAAGGTTAGTTAAGTGGTTTAGCCTCATGTTGTCCAGTGTATTAGAGCTGGAATTGGAATGAAATTGTTGTTAATAATGGTGTTCCTTCTCCCATTCTCTGTCAAATACATTATGATCTAAGTATTCATCTTAGTTTCTTGCCCTTGCAATGATTTCTCTGGTTTTGAATCATTCGTCTCCTTTTTGTCTCACTCCATGTCTAAAGTTTTTTTCCCCCTATAATATTCTATATTATCAAGTGTAATATTTGGGTGATCACTGGAAAAGCCAGAAAAGTGATTTTTTTTTCCTGTCTTAGGCTTATTTGAACTTGTATTTCCAATTGGCGATTGGTCTTAAGTTTTGGCAAACTAGAAAAGCTGATAACTCCTTTAGGGACTGCTTTGAGGCTAAAAGTAATATCAAGTAAAGCCCTGAGCAAGGCTCAGTGGTTGTTTATTGGTTTGTGCCTTCTCTTTGAATGGCTTTCCTTGGTTGGCTTTTTCTGTTACTACGTAACTACACATCTTACTAGAAAGTCCATGACTATTTCCAGTGACAACGTGAAGGATATTAGGTCTGTTTACAAGCCCTCAAATACTTCTGTTATCCTTGTTCTGTGCTGTCTGTTGTATACTGTAGACCACGTGACAGGAACACGTTTTCACTCTTCTTCAAGTAAATCTTAACCAGGAGCCCACAAACCTGAAAATGTATACAAAACTAACTTTTTTTTCCCCTATTGAGTGCTTCCATAAATTTAATTTTTTTCTTTTTCTCTTTTTTTTTGGGGGGTGGGGTGGGGTGGATGTGGGTCTTACCATGTAGACCAGGCTGGGCTTAAGCTCTTGATCTTCCTGCCCCAGCCCTCCTGAGTGCCAGCATAGGGCATCCACCACCATGCTCAGCTTAGATTTGATTTTTAAAATGCACCTGTGAATCAGAGACTATCTAGGAACCACCAGGTTCCTGTTCTTATTTGTCAGCTTTAAGAAACAATTAGAAAATGTTGGCATAAAATGAAGTTCTAACTTTGAGGAAAAATGGGAAGAAAACTTCATACGTTGATTCTGAAGTCCTGATTTGAGCTTTAGCTCTTTTACTTATTAAGCTCTGTGACCTGGAATGGGAAAAACATATAAATTATTTGAGTCTGGGGATATTAGCCCATATCTCCTTCTCAGGTTGTTGTTTGAACTGAATGACATCACATGTGAGAGGACTTTGTAGTGATAACCACCTTACCTCAGCTTTGGAACCTGTTGTTCCAGTTGCAGCTGGGGAAAGGAAACTTTCCTTTAATGCCCTTGAGTTCTTCTTTACTGTGGACCCTAGGTGTGAGTTAGACTGATGCTGTTTAGGGAGGTGAATTCTTGATAACACATGTATTTTTATTCCCCCTTCAAATAAGATATTATGACATAGGATAAAGATCTCTGGACTAGGTGTCAGAAGATCCTTGTTACAAGTCTACCTTTACCACACTAAGTTACAGGCACACTAGAAGACAAATCCTTAACATCTGTGTAAAATATTTGCAGCAAATGCAGAGTTGTTGAGGAACATAGAAGATAATGTGGATGAAACATTTTGTGAAATAGTCATCAACCCAAAGAACAGAGACATTTGAACAAGTTAATTGGGTTTCTGTGACTCAATCATTTAGCACATGTAACTGTTCAATAATGACTAGCTTTGCTGTTATTCCTTAGTGTTTTTCTAGTTATATACACAAAATTTTTTTACTTTGTCTTAGCTTTGTAGTGAGTGCAGGAAAAGCAAAATTAAATGAAGTGAAATGGAAAGAAATGAAATACTTAATTTATGATGTACTGAAAATAATTTATCATGTACAGATGAATGGACCAGAGAAACTGAAGACTTTATTTAGGTTGAGACTGATACCAGCCTTGAAGAATGGGTGAGGCCTGAGATGCAGAAAGATGAATAGTACTAGCACAGTTCTAAAAAAGAGGATAAGGATGGTGTAGAAACCATAAGGAGATTCAGGTGAACAAGCAAACTTGTTTTGCTCTTGAAAGTAAAATGTGATTATGATTTCTCTCCATATCTGTTGTCCATAACTCTTTAAGTTTAGCAGAAAGAAGTTACATTCTGACTCCACTGTGTTTCTTCTTGATTTTCCCATGGAGGAAGGAGGTATAGATAAATAGGTTTCAGAATTCACTGACCATAATGCTAATGATTTTTCTGTTTGGAAGGACAGGAATATTCTTTATTTATTTTAATTTTTTTTTTTTTTTTTTTTTTTTTACTTTCTACTGACACTGGCAAACAAAAAGCCAGTGTCAGCATTATTAGCATATATGAATTGTATAGGAGGGATTCATTGTGACATTTATATATGTGTATGTTTATAACATACTTTAATTACATTTACCCCCTTCAACATCATTCTCCTTCATCTCCTCTCCCCTCCCCTTCTTAAAACAATTTCAGCAGGTTTCATTATTCTGTTTTCATACATGTATACAGAGTACATCCACCATATTCACCATCCCTGTTTACTTTTCCCCTGTCCACTAATATCCATCCTTAGACAAGGATATTCTTAGTAAAACACTATTTTTCTTACTAACTTTGCTATAGAAATAATGAAAGGCAATGATATATTCCTAGAATTGTCTGAAAGGCAGCAATAACCCAAAGAGTAGATAATTTGCAACAATAAAGTTTTAACACTTTATTTATTTGTTTATTTGTCATTTCATATTTGGTGCCATTTGAAAACTTAGCTCAAAGCTGACATTACTCAGAAAGAAGGTTATTGCCATATTTATTGCTATAGAGCAGAAATAATTAGAAACCATTTAAACATTTAAAAAAGAAAAAATAAGTTAATGTTTTTATATCTATAAAATAGATGAGATGATAATTATATATTTATATAATTCACATCCTATACTGTTCACCACTTAAAGTCAGTGGCTTTTAGTATACTCATGGAGTTGTATAACATTCATAACAATCAACTTAAGAATATTTTAATGCCCTCACAAAGAAACCTATTATCCTTGGTGTTGACCACTCTCTTCTATATTCCTCTTGTGGCTCTAGATACCTACTAATCTTTTTTGTCTCTGTGTATTTGCATATACTTGCATTTTATAGGAATGAAATACTATGGGTGGTCTTTTGTGGTTGGTTCTTTCACTTGGCATAATGTTTTTAAGGTTCATTCATGTTGTAACATGTATTAGTACTTAATCCTTTTTGTTGTTGAATAATATTCCTTTGTACAGATATCCCACATTAATATTTATTTATTAGCTGATGAGCATTTCAGTTGTTTGTACTTTTTGGATTGGGTGAATAGTGCTACTGTGTGCATTGGTGTATAAGTTTTGTATGAATATATATTTCATTTCCCTTGGGCATATGTCTAGAAATGTAATTTCTGGGTCATAGTTTTGATCTTTTGAGGAAATGCATATTACTTCAGAGTGGCGGAATTGTGTTACATCCCCACTAGTGATGTCTTAGAGTTCAAACTTATCCATATCTTTGCCAACCCGTTGTTGTTTGTCTTTTTTATTGTAGCCATCCTAGTGGGAATGAAGCAATATTTCATTATGAATCTGATAGCTCATCATATTGAGCATCTTTTCATGTGCTTATTGGCCATTCATGTTTCTTCTTTAGAGAAATGTTTATTCAGATCCTTTCTCTACTTTTAAATGAGATTACTTGTCATTTTTATTATTGAATGTACAGTATACTATACTGCCTGTTATTTTTTCAAATGCAGTTTTATTGGACTGTCATGCTTATTTGTTTGTATTTTTTTCATAGCTAACTTTAGGCAAAGTTGACTAGCTATGACAAAGGTGATATGGCCTGCAATGTTGCCTAAAATAGCTGTTACTTGGCTCTTTAATAAAACGTTAACTGATCCCTACTTTTGTAGCCATTAAAATATTTCAGCATTATCATTAAATGTATCAGAAATCTATTAGAATGGAAATCACACAAAGTAGTACATTATATAATTCCAGCTGTATAAAATTTGTAAATACTTATATTAAAAAGATATGCACTAAATATTAGTAATGATCTTTGGATTGCTGGTTTATGGCTAAAGATAGGTAATCAGGAGATCTAAAGAAGGAGATTGTATTTTATAGAATAGATGTTTATTACTTTCCTCCAGAAAAATCTCATGCAGTTAGTCTGTTAGGTGACTTGAACATTGGTGAAGAGAAAGATAATTAATCATGTTAAAAGTAGCATTTGTTTTTGTATACATTTCAGTTATACTTACCATACAGCTTAATCAACTCCTAAGTTAGGTTGAAGAAATATAAGTATGGTCATACTAGTTTCTTTGAAAGCTAAGTCACTAGCTTCCATATTACTCAAAGCTAGTTAAGTATTGTGGTTGGATTACATGTATAAAATACAACTGTGAAATTTTGAGAAAAAGTCTTAAAAGATCCTGCTTTCAGTTTTGTTCACAATTGCCTTTAGTTGCCATGCCATATTAGAGTAAGTGGAAACTATAGCTTTTGAAGTATGGAAGCAGTTTGTGGTTTATTCAAGACAAGTGGCATGTTAACACCACTCCACAGAGCCTTCTTGCAAGAAGGTCTTAGTTCTGAAAGATTTGTATATAATTTGTTACATGATGTGAATTCATGTCTCCTTATTTTGATCAAATATTTAGATTTACCTAGTTTTCTTTATACTCTCTCATGTAAGATTATTGTCTTATTTAGCTAAAATGGCCTATAAGCTGAGTATCCTTAGAAAAAACAAATGCTGAGAAGTGATGTGACTTGCAGAATTTCATAGCTACATGAACTGGTGGGTTTTATCCTCAAATAAGGATAGCTGTGCCAGTCTAATGCTTATTTTAGAAATACTTAATTGATTTTGGTGTTTTTTGTGTTACTATTCATGAGCTGTGCAGTTTTTAGAATAGATAGAACAAGCAAAGCAACATATATTACCCCATTCTCAGCCTACATATTTGTGACATTCCTTGCTTTTTTAAAGGCATTAGCCTTAAGTAGCTTTGAGGTAGAAGAGCTTTTCAGTTTATGAACTGTTTAAGAACTTTAAGGAGAAAGTAGTAACTACTTTTATATTCTTCCAACAGCCATTCTCCAAGCACTTGTTAACAGTGTTTTGGCCCTAAAAGAGGAATCAATAAATCAGTATATTTCAAGTACCTCAAATGTTAACACTAACTTATCCTCCTAGGATACAACTATGAATAAAATAGACATGGTCAAGTACAGCAAAGTCTGTGCCTGCCTGAGATTTTTTTATTATAATACTGGGAATATTTAACTGCAGGTTGTGTCATAAAAGGTATAAAGTTTGGTGTTATTAGAATATATAACTGGAAAACCTGATCTAGTTAGTCTAAGGAAATAGTGGAGAGGACAGGTTTAATAAAGGCTGCCAAATGGGATTGACATTGTAGATGAGCTCTAGGTATAAGTCAGACTTTTTAAGTCAGTGTCGGGGACAATAGGGAAATTTGTGGAGAGTGGGTAAAGGTAAGCAAACTTGTTAGAGGAAATAGTTTGTCCAGAGGCACTTGAGACATATTTGAGTGGCATATTTGTGCTTGAGAAATGCAGTGAAAGCCTGTGGGTTTCCAGCATAGAGAGAATGGAAAAGGGTGAAATAGATGCTGAGAAGGAAATAAGCAAATGTGCAGGGATGCAAGATCTGAGACAATGTGTTCATGCTTAGCCCTGGGACTAAAGAGGAGATATTGAAGAGTTTTTAAAGCTCTCATTTTGTGTGTATTTGTGTGTCTACATCTGTCTGTCTATCAATCATCAACATCTATCTATCATCTGTTGACTGCTCTATGGAAAATGAAATGGAAGGAAGATGAGAGTAGGATAGTGGTGAGAAGTAGGTTGCTGGCATTAGAGATAGAAATAAGGACATGCAAAATGTATACTTTAAGGGTTTTCTTTGCTTTGGTGTTTCAGTTAAAACTTCATTTCTTGTTCCTTTTCTAGTTAACCTTACTTCTTATAACCACTTTGTCAAAACATTAGCTTTAGGGGACTACTGTAAATTTTATCATTTTAGATTAGGCTTGATTATATCACTTATATTCTGGGTCATATAAGAAGTAGACTCTTATTTTTAAATTAAAGAAATGATACCGTGTAAGTAAAAATAAAATAAAGGTGTAGGCCATAAGATCCATTCTGTAATAACCCATGTGTTTTTACCAGAATAAGTGTCTTCTGGGAGGATATTTTAAACAAAGTGAGTAAAAGCTTTGGGAATCAAAGCATTTTAAGGATAACTGATATTAGGAGCTGTATAGTGAATATAATAAAATGAAGTGTAGCTGTTACATAACTGAATACTTTTTATCCACAGTCAACTTACATACGTATCTTGCACCATGATTTTAGAAAGTACTTCACTGTCATCAAAATATTTTTTAATTTTCTAACACAAATATTATTGCAATTGTAGTGTATTTATAAATTGGACTCTGTATACTGTTGTTCTCTGTAATCTAGAAAAAAATGCTTTGAATTGAGATTCCTCTTAAATTTGCATATAGTCATTGGAAGAAAGTCAAAGAGAAGGAAAATAAAATTATGTTGAATATAGAGATAGAATGTTGTTTTGCTGACTTCCCCCACCCTTATATGTTTTTATGGTAAATAGAAATCTGTATTTAAAATTTAAAATATGTTGTATCATATATTAGCATTGCTGGTGATTTCACTCATTTTAAATGTCATTATGGCAGCTAAAATTGATGAGTTATATTTTGTTTGAGAATTATAGTAAATTTAATAGCATTGCACCATTAAACAGAAAAGATATAACTTGAAACATTTTATGTATTATTATTCTAAATTTGTTACAATGAACCTTTTGTGGATTAAATTAGTTAAATTTTACTTTTATAAAACTGACAAATATGGATGACTTTGAATAAACATGTAAAAAATTTTGAAGCATGCTTACAAAGATTGTGAATTCAGTTTTTTAAATAAAAGGAAAAAGGACTCTAGAGATAGCTAGGCTGAAGTTTTTGAGGCTAATACTGTTACCAAGTTGAGTTGCATTTATTTAGTGAATAGCTCTTATATTCTAAATAATGTTAATTCTTCTTCAGATCCTGGGGCTCAAGGAAACCTTTCAATGTTTCTTTGTTTTTGTGTTCATATACTTATAGCATTCTCTTTCTTTACAAGTACATAATAAACTGTAGTTGTACCTTTAAAATTAGCATATGAGTGTTAATGACTGTATCTTTTGGAAAACAGTCTTCTGTTATTTTTCTCAGTGCCAGAACTCTAAAGTTTCCTCTCAAAAAGTTGACAGTAATCAAGTCACCTCTTCACAAGTTGTTTAGTACACATGTATAGGTAATTACCACAGTGAATTATTGTATACTTTCTGGTTCCCCATTGCCCTTGCTTCTCCCCTATTTCCCAATATCTTTATGAACAGATTCCTTGTATTCTGTCTACTTGATGTGTTCCTGAAAAGATGAATTAATTTTACTGCCATTTTGAAGAAAAACAGCATTATTTCTAATGGTCACATTTGTAAGTGCTAGTGTACATACAAATAGAAATCAGTCAGGATCATACTAGAGGTATTTGGTTCAGAACTTGGGTTGTATAACTAAAAAGAGAATGTGGAAAATTCAGAATGGGTGCAGAAGAAACCAAGAAATATATGAAATAATTATAGGATGAGAAAATACATGATATACCTGAAGCCAGACTCTTTTCAGATTTAACTGGGGTAAATAATTTCTTTACTTTTTAAAAGAATTTAAATAGTACTTTTAAGCTTTGGCACATAAAATATCTAAAATAATATTGTCAGAAGACTAAGCAAGGTAGATTTGATACACTTTGGTTCTTGTGAAATGGAGTCTAAGATATAAAAATAGTGAATAAAATCTCAGAATAAATAAATTTGCAGTCTTTGTTATAATCATGTTGTCTGTCAGTAGTCATTAAAATGAGCTTATATTTTTGTAAAGAATTTATATAATATTTTGTAATGTCTTTTTTCTAAGGTCCAAAGAAATAGACTGGCAACCGTATTTTACTACACGCATTGTAGATGATTTTGGCACACACCTACGAGTATTCAGAAAGGCTCAACAGAAAATAACTCAGAAAGATGATCAAGTGAAAGGTAATGTATTCATTCTGTTTGAGAACTAGGATGTAAATATCTGTTCTATCACTTCATATGTCCTGAATTCTTTCTTTTTTTCAGGTACAGCTGAAGATCTCGTAGATACCTTCTTTGAAGTTGAAGTTGAAATGGAAAAGGAAGTTTGTCGTGACCTAGTGTGCACTTCTCCCAAAGATGAAGAAGGTTTTCTTTTTAATAAAACACTTTTTCAAAATAGTAACTGGTTAAAGATAAGATAGCAGAACAAATTAAGGTGAAATTATTCTTCCTCAAGACAGGTAGCATAGTGAAAGCACTATATATTTTTAACTCTTGTAAGTAGTTTTCCACATTTAAAAAAAATACAGTAAGCACACCATTTTATGATTAAGCATTTATATTTTATGAATTAAAATAATTCATTTTCCCCTTGAATTTGTTATTTCTGCTTCAAGAGCATACTTGTTTGCCCTAAAATATTTTCTAAGGGAATGATTGAATGACTTAAAATAATGTAGATTTGAATGGATTCACCTTTTCTTTGTGGGAAGTTAGACAATTTTAGTCGATTGTTTTTCATTTTTAAAATTAAGGCTTTGGTATTTTTAAGACTGTCCTAAGTTTTTTTCTTCCTTTTGCTGTTCCTTTTTCTCTTTTTCTGGTTTTCTTTTTCCCCTTTTATATTTACTATAAAGTTCAGTTTTTGTCAGTTTATTTGTATTGTGAAATAATAGCTAAATCTAAAAAGTGGATATAATGATTTACAATGTTTTTACATATGGTAAGCTCTCTTCTCTAAGCAGAATAGAAGAAACATACTCTTCCTTTGTTATTACCAGCTGAGATAAAGGAGGTTTTTTTCTTGAAAGAATTACAGGCATATCTATGCAAAATGTGTGGTAAAAGTGCAAAATACATGTACATCTAAAGCTGTTTTGGAGAAGAACAATTTTGTCATTGAAGGTTTTCATGATTCAAATAACTAATTTGAATCTGAGCAGAATTTTTATTAGTTTGTTTAGTAAACAATAATTATGTGGAAAACAGTGGAGGAATTTTAAATGAATGCTGATATGTACTAATTATTAAAATAAGTTGATACAACCAGGGAACAAATTATTTATCCCAATTTTTGTGTGTCTTACACTGAGTACATAGAGACTTTAGATTTTCTAACATTACTATAGTTACTTTTCCTATTTTTAGGATTCCTAAGGGATTTGTGTGAGGTCTTGTTATATTTATTGCTACCTCCTGGAGATTTCCAGAACAAGATCATGCGATACTTTGTCAGGGTAAGTGTAAACTCACACTAAATAATACTGTCAAGAAACTTAGAGTGGTAGTTCTTAAAATTTTTGGCCTCAAGACCCTGTTAAACTCTGAAGACTTTCAAAGAGCTTTTGTTTCTATGGGTTTTTTCTATGATAGTTATGTATTATAAATTAAAGTAAATAAAAGATGCTCTACCACTTGAACCACACATCCAGCCCTAAAAGCAAGAAAAATTTGAAACTAGGAATATGTAAGCCAACATTACATTAGTGACTAATGATATCATGCCATCATGTGCTTTTTGAAAAAAATCTCACTATATTCTACTGAGAGAATAAGAATGAAAAGGTAAATAAGGTCTTAGTGTTATTAAGAAAATGGTATTCACTCATTGTTTCATCCCAAAAGGATTTTGGGGACTTTTCCCCAAGCCTCTAAAGCTCCCTGGCCAATATGTTGAGAACCATCTGACTTAGGTGCTTGGATTTTTGTTTATGACAAAGGTATACTTTTAAAGTTTTTTCTTTAGTGCTATAGCTTTACCTAAATTAGACTAGATAAAAATAACATTTAGAAGCTTTAAAATTAAACCTGGGCAACTAGATTCTTCTTTTTATAATTGGAATATGAGTTAGATGAGAACAGTCACCTCGAATTCTGTTCCCTTAGTGCACACAGAGTAAAACTGTGTGTGAATGTAAAGGAATAACATGTGGCTTTGGCTGCTGGTTATGATTAAGAAATGCAGCTACTTAAGACCTTAGCCTAGTGAATGGGTAAAATGAAAGTAAATTTTCCAAAAAATGAAAGCTTATAATCTCTTTAGTCTTTTTCCCTATAATGGATACTAATTCCTCAAGCTTGCTTTTGTACTTGTTCTGTTATTATTCAAGCAGTTCCATAGTTTTCTAACATCTACCTAGTTTGAATTCAGTGACCCTCTCAGGTATATTAATGACAGTCATGTGAAATGTGTTGAAAGTGCTAAGTTTTGATGTGAAGTGTCTGATGGATTAAGTGTATGTGGTTAATGCCAAATATTGAGGTAGTCATTCTCAAAGTTGGTAAATACCTAGCATGTCTATTACTAGATTAGTATCTACCAGGTGTCTGAACTCCTCTTCTGCTTAACTTTAAGGTATGTAAATTCTTCCTCCTTAGGCACTTTTCTTGCTCATTCATTCATTCTTATGACTTATACACTGTCTAAATAGTAATGAGTTTTAAATTTATAACTTCAGTCCAAATGTCCCTTCTAAGCTACAGGCTACTCTTATGAGCTGTCCATTTGAATAAAACTTTTAAATGTCCAGAATGGAAGTCTTTATTCTTGTTTCCAGTGCTGTCTGGCTTTTAGTCTTTTCTACATCTCAGTGAATAATGTAATAATTGAGCAAATTTTTCATACCCTAAGGCCTTCCAGAGGCTTACAAGGCCCTTTGTGATGTGATGTGACTTTTATATCTGTAGCTTTCATGGCATGTGGTGTCAAAGCCAGAGAAGGATAGTAAAGTTATAACAATGGATTTTTTTTTAAAGAAAAAGTTCCATTTGGGGAAAGGAAACTTTAGTATAGAACTTGACTTAATTTTGAATGCAATAGCAATAAGTGGGGATTTATAGCAAGGGTGCCAGGGTAGAGACCAGTGAATGGAAAGTTATAACAGGCATTATGAAGGCTAAGAGGAAATTCTAGTTAAACAGACTTAATAAGATTCTTGCAAAAGCCAAGCCAAGAATGAAGATGAGGAAATTGATCAGGTATTGAGGCTTGGGGAGTTCTGGCTAAACATATTTGACAAGATTTCTGCTAAAATTGTGTGCTGCAATGATGAACAAAGATGGAAAGCCCAACTTTGAGGCCTAACTGGGAAGAGACTTCAAGGGATGAAGTTTTTATTAGCAGCCTCTACTCTAGCCATACTCATTTTCTTCCCTCAAAGTGCCATTTTCCTCCCCCACTCACCATGGAGCTGTCACATGTGCTTTGTCCTTCTGTCAGAATGATTCTTGTTGTTCTCTTGGTTAAATAGTATTCATTTCTCTTATCTCACTTAATGTCACTTCCTCAGAGATTCCCCCTGACCACCGAATCTGAAGCTCCCTTATAATTCTCTATTACTGTAGGTAGCACCCTCTTGTTTTCCTTCGTAGCATTTGATTGCTGTGTTTACTTACTTGGTACTTTCTCCAAAATGAACTTCAAATTCCTTGAGGACAGGGACCATATCTGTACATAATCATATACTTAGTAGTTAACACAGCACCTGGCATATGGCAGGTCCTAAGTCATAGAATCTGTTGTAATGGGAGAGGAAAACCATTTGCCTTCTTAGTGGCTGTGGTGCACATGCTAACTCTTAAGAGCCATTAGTGAAGATCTGGCTTGTTAACATAAAGTTATTGTATTAAATAAGTAGGATTACAGTGAATAAGTATGTTTTTCTGTAGATTCTTCTTTTTAGGCCGGTATTTTGTTTCTATTTGGTCAAATCTAATTGAATAAAGATAATTGTAGAGCACTGCATTCAGCAAGTCAATTTTGTTCTTTTCAGTTGATAGTTCTTTATCAGTTTTCTTTTGTCAGTAAATTTGAGTTTTTGCAAAAGACATTTTTGTGTAGATGAAATAAAAGATGAAAAAACTCTTTTGTATGAGTCTTTTGGACAAGTTTTTTCATATCAAAGTATTTGAGGTAATTGCTGTTTAATTGCCTCTACTTCTTCCTACTTCTATGTTTTATTCATTTAAATATTCACAAATTCAACGAACCTCGTATCTTTCAGGCCCCTGTATTGACAGCTGGTGCTCTCTTCTAGAAATTGAAGGTCTTAAAGTCAGAATTACATGAAAATGTCCACTTTGGAATATTTCGAGCTCTCACTCAGACCTGTACAGGGCTTTTAGAGTTAATATGATTAACCCTTGATTAACTGGAACTTTTTATGAGGCAAATTAGGAGACCAAAGTATTTTTTAGTCAAATTCACTAATTATATTAACATACACAAAATTGGCTGAAAAGTCTTTCCAATGTGTTGTTTTTCTCACTTTTCAACTTAGGAAACTTTGGAAAAATTTTTGGGGTATGAATTTTCTCCTTATAAAGTACATTTTATTTTTCTTTGTATATATATAGGATAGAATTTTATTCAGCCATAAAAAGAAAGAAATCATTTCATTTAAAGAAAAATAGATGGAGCTGTTTAAGTAGATGGTTTATGATAAGCATAATAAGCCAGTGTCACAATGACAAATGTCCTAAGTGTTCTTTCATGTGTGAAAAAAAGATCATGAAAGTAAAATGAAGTGGAATGAGAAAGGAAGAGAGAATGGTTGATACAAAAGGGAAAAGAACAGATGAATATGATCAAAATACATAGTATGCAGAAGTGGAAATGCCATAATGAAATCTATTAGTTTGTATAATTATCATACACTTACAAAATGCAAAGTACATTTTAAAATTTGACGTGTATGCCAGTTTAAGGAGGAATTTGAAGAGAGGAAATTTGATTGATGAATGTAATTTTTAATAAGTTAGAGACTAAAGCTAACCTTGAAAGAAGTAATTCCTTGTAATTTGGGACTGTATAGTGCCTTAAGACATTTCTAAAAATTAAAGTACCTTTCTTACTGCCTATTGAAAATATTAATTCATTATTCATCAAGTATTAATTTATCACTATACATTTTTTGAACATATAGGAGAAAATATTTGAGATAAATTAGGAATCTGGTAAGATGAAATGAATTTGTCTTTTTTACTTAGAAAAGTAAAGCATCTTATTAAGCTTGCTACTATTTAAACTCGCCTAAATTCTCAAAAAATGATATTTCATAAAGTTAGATGTCAAAAGTATTAAGGGATGAAAGTCAATATCAGGTGAAACATTATAATAGTTCTAAATTCTTAGTTTCTTTATTTCTATATATTTATTGAATATGTGCCCTGGCCTTGAGATTAGAGAAGTGATAAATAATTTTGATGATAGATAAGTAAATAGATAAGTTGCCAATTCCATTTATAACAGAGAATGCCTAGATAGTGGTAGTGTGTTAGAGGAAATACGAGATATACAGTAACATAGAAAATACTAAGTGATAAATGTCATAAATACTGGGCATAAGTGTATTTTAAGCATGTAAATGAAAAAGTGTTCAGCTGAAATGATCAGTTTATTTAACAGGGTAACTGATTATTAAGTAAGAGTTTAAAGGAAGGGAAGAATTTTAATAGGTTGGAGTACAAATGGTTGCAAAGCAAGGGAAGATATATTCTAAAGAACAAAATACTATTTTATTTTTAGCATTTTTATTAGGAAAAAATACCACAAGAAACATTTATGTACCAGCTACCTAGATATAAATGATGTTGAAGTTTTAGTATAGTTGCTCCCCTGCCTCCCTTGAAGTAAATAGGATTGTAAAATTGGTATTAATCCTTTTCTATTGCTTCTTTCTTTTTATAATTTCCATGTATATGTATGAATTCATAAACATATTTATTCTCGTTTTGCCTTTTTAAAATTGACATTCACTCAGCTGTTTGCTATTGTGGAGATGTGTCCAAGTTGTTCTAGGTAGCCTTAGCTCATTTGTTTTAACTAAGGTATAGTAGCTTATCTTTTTGTAAGATTGCATTGATTATTGTTACTTTCATGTGTGTCATACCTAAGTTATACTGTTGTGTTAGGAAGTTTACATTATGCTGTTAACTTGAGAAGTAGATTAAATTTGTCCTTTTTTTTAATTGGTCCAAAAGAATTTATGAAATGCAAAGGATTTACAGTTTAGTGTATTTTTAAAAATCATCTAAAAGCATGTTACTTTAAAAATCAAAACTTAATAGAAAAAACAAGTATATAATTAACATAATGGGCAAAGAGACAGATAACAAATGTGTAAGAAAAGCAAACATGGTGCAAATAATCATAATAGTAGAAGTCTTAGAATACTTGCTAAAATAATGATGGTGATCTTATATTCCAAACTGCCCAAATAAAATTAAGATGCATATTTCTAGATAAAAACATAGGATATAATTCATATTTGGATGTATGAAGAAAATTGTGTTTTAAAATACAATATTACTTATAAATGAATTTTGGTTTTTTTTTTTCCTACTAAATTCATCTTTTTTTAAATTAATTTTTAGGAAATCCTTGCACGAGGAATTCTTCTTCCATTAATAAATCAACTCAGTGATCCTGATTATATTAATCAATATGTCTTATGGATGGTAAGTACCTTTTAAAATTACAACTTGTTTTTGCAACAGTTTTTAAATATTAAAATACAATTTGGACATCAGAAAGATTAGGCAACACTATATTCTAAAACATAAGTAAAATTCTTTTCTGAAATTATTCTTACATTTCCAGTATTTCTACTTATTGAGAATGTTTACCAAATTCTCTTCAAGAAGTACATTAGTTATCTGTATTATTGTGGTATTGCTGCTGTTCATTGTGTATACAGATGATGTGTGTTTTTAACAGCCACTGAAGTTTGTGTGTTCCTTATCTGAAATGCTTAGGACCGAAATGTTCCAGATTTTTGAATATTTCTATATACATAATGAGATATCTTAGGAATAGAACCCAAGTCTAGAAAAGAATAGATTTATGTTATATAAATACCTTACAAATATAGCTTGAAGGTAATTTTGCACAGTATTTTTAGTGTGCCTGTAAAGTTTTGACTGCGTCCTATCACATGAAGACAAATGAAGAATTTTCCACTTGTGGATCATGCCATTGCTGAAAAAGTTTTAGAATTTAGAATTTTGGGTTAGGGATACTCAGTTTGTATTTGGTTTCCAATGGAACTCTTAAGTCTGGTCTACTTGAATAGCATGTGAGTCACATTTTATACTAAGTATGGGTAATAGAACACTAGACTGAAAGTTAGAAGAGATCTATTATCATTAGTTGCTTTGTGTGTCTGTAAGCAGATAATTTAGTTTTCCCCTTTACCAGTCATATCAAAGATTTAGTAACTACTCAGTTTACTAGCTCATTTTTTTCCCTGTTCTGAATATATATGCCTTTCCTCGATAAACTCATAGTCAAGAGAGAGTTGTAAATGTGCTATCTGCTGGGAGTACTTAGGTGTATACCTCCAGATCTCTGATTCATTTTCTAAAATCTGTAAATTCTTCTTTAATTCATCTTCCTTTAACCAGTCTGCTCTTCCTAGGAAAGAAACACTTGATTATTCTTTGATTTCCTTAGGCATGTTGTCAACCTTGCCATTGTTTAATTGTTGTTGCAACATGTGTCTTTCTTATCAGAGTGTGGGTTACCTGTCGGTGAAACTTACCATGTTAATTTTGTATTTCTGGACTCTTTTCTAGATCTAGAGATTATAGAACTTGATTCTTTTTCAGTTGTCAACATTTTTTGCCCACTTCCAGTCAGTCCACGCCTTATTTCCCTTAAAGGCAGTCCCTTTCCTGTTCTCTATTATTGCAAGTTAGTTTTGCCCATTCATGAACTTTATTTAAGTGGAATCCTGCACTGTGTACTGGCGTGCATACTGTTTCTAAATTTTACATGTGTTTACTCATTTTAAGTGTGAAGAGTAGTCCATTTTATGAGTTTACTGTCAATTGTTTACCTAGACTTTTATTGATGTACACTTGAATTTTCATAGGGCTACTGTGGGAAAAAAATACAGTGTGCTTTAAAAACAAATTTCATAGAAAATTTCCTGTGGATATATGTTTTCATTTCTTTTGAGTAAATCATTAAGAGAGAAGTTATTGGGACATAGGGTAGATACATGGTTACCTTTTATAAGCAGTTGTTAAGGAGAGTGACATTAGCAAGGTGGTAGAATTAGGAAGCCCTAGATTTCATTCCTCCACCAAAATACCAACTTAGCAATAATATATGCTCTAAAACATATTTATGATAACTCCAAAAAATAGTTAGGAAGTTTTAGTACCCCAGATAAACTTGCAGCCAAAAAGAGCTGCATTGAAACACAAGTAAGAAAAGCTGATACAACTACAAATCAGAAGGAAAACCCCAATTTCAGCTTCTTGGTTCTAGACTGGTTTCTTTCTGTCCTGTTTTGGACTGCTGATGGGGAGTAAGCATAATTTGGATGCCTGGGGCCACAGAGAACAAGAGAGCTCAGCAGCCAGAGAACTTCAGATACCTCAGATAGAAGCTGACAGAACTCACTGTGATTGGCATTAGATACCTGGCTCCTGACTTCAGGAAATAATTTTTAAAATACTTGGGAATTAACAAAGGGGAGGAATATCACAAAAAGTGCTGAAAGAAGTTAAAAATGACACAAAAAATAGTAACACAGACTATGTTCATGTAGTGAAAGATGTAATATTATGAAGATTTCCATACTACCAAACATGAGCTGCATATTCAGTGTAATTTCTATCCAATTCCCAATGATATTTTTGTGAAATAAGAAGAATCATCTGAACATCCATATGGATTCTCAAAGGACTCTAAATAACCAAAACAATCATAAAGAAGAAAAATTAATCAGGAAACATTCTTTTTCATTTTAAAATTTAACTACAAAGCTACAGTAAATAAAACAGTATGTTACTGGCATAAAGAAAGACACATTTACTCAGTGCAATAGAATACAGAACCCAGAAATAAATCCTCATGTATATGGTCAAATAACCTTTTGTGGGTAGGTGTCAAGGCTGCACAGTGGGAAAGGATAGTCTCTTCCAAAAAAATGTTGGGAAAGCTAAATATCACATGCAAAAGAATGAAGATGTACCCTTTCCTGTGCCATTCACAAAAATTTGCAGAAAGTGAGTTGAAGACCTACATGTAAGATTTAGAACTATAAAACACCAAGAAGAAAACATAAGGGAAAAGGTTTGTGGGTTTGGCTGTGGTTTCTTGGGTTGATACCAAAACTCAGGTAACAAAAGCAAAAATAGGCAGTGAAATACAAAGCTGCCCAGCAGAGAAAACTATTAGCAGAGTGAAAAGGCAACCTATGGAATTGGAGATAGTTTTTTCAATCCATATATCTGATTAGGGATTAATATCTAAAACATATGAAGAACTCTGACAACAGTAGCAAAAAGTAAAACAACAACAATAAAAATTTCAAAATGGGCAAAGAATTTGATTAGATACGTCTCCAAATGAGTTATACAAATGCCCAACAGTTATATGAAAAGATATTTAACATCCCTAGTTATTATGGAAATACAAATCAAACACCATAAAGAGTTAATTATCTTATAATAGTTTGATTGTCACTATCAATTAAAAGAAAAAGGAAAAAAATATGAGCTGGAGGCATGGCTCAAGCACTAGAGTGTCTGCCTAGCAAGCAGGAAACCTTGAGTCCAAACTCCAGTACAAACCTCCTCCCAAACAGAAAATTGAAAATAACAGGTGTTGAGAAATTGAAATCCTCACGCACTATTGATGGGAGTATAATTTGATGCAGCTACCGTGGAAAATAGTTTGGAGGTTCCCCAAAAACTAAAAATGAAATTACCATATAATGCAGTAATCTAGATATGTATCTTAACTGAAAACAAGGATCTTGAAGGGATACTCCCATAGCCATATTGATTGAAGTCTTGCTGTAGCCAGGACTTGAAAGCAACCTAAGTGTCTTACAAACAGGTGAATATGTTTTTCTTTAAAGTGTATATACACGAAAAGAGTATTATTCAGCCTTGAAAAAGGAAATCCTGTGTATACTACAGCATGATGAACATTGAGATTATTATACTAAGTGAAATGATCTGTCATCAAAAGACAGATAATGCACAGATCCTGTTGTTTGAGCTGTCTAAAATATTCAAACTCTTAAGAAACACAACATAGAATGTTGGTTGCCAGGGAAGGGGAGAGTAAAAGAGAGTTATTGCTGAATAGATACACAGTTTCGGTTTTACAAAATGAAAAAGTTCCAGAGATCTGTTAAACAACAATGTTCTCATAGTTTGCCTTCCTTAATTGTCCACTTAAAAATATTTAAGATGATAAATTTCAAGTTATATGTGTTTGACCATATTTTTAAAGAAAAGGAAGAAATGATCATATAGTCTTCCTAAGGTGTGTTATAATTTTGCACTTCCACTAGCAGTGTTTTGAGTTTTCTGATTTTTTACATCCTAATCAGCATTTACCATTGCCGTTGTTTAAAGTTTAATGCCTCTTGTAGGTGTGAATTGGTATGTTACGGCGATTAATTTTTTCTGGAATACTGAGACTGAGCATCTTTTTGCATAATTATAGGCCTATTTCATGTCTTAGTCAAGTGCTCTTTCCTCCGCCCCTCCCCCCATATTTTTGGGACTTAACGATTTTTTTTAATTGGTATGTAGGAGTGCTTCTTATATCCTACATGGAACGTCTTTGTCAGATACATGTACAAGTTTCCAGTATTCCTTATCCAAAGTGCTTGGGAGTAGAAGTGTTTCATGTTTTGGAGTTTGTCATGTTGGCAGTCAAAAATTTGAATTTCAAAGCATTTTGGACTTTGAAGAATTTTATATTTCCAATTTTTGGATTAAGAATATTCAGCTTTTCCATATGAAAATACCTATGTCTTTCTCTTTCAATGATGTATCTTGATGAGAACTTTAAAGATTTTGTGAAGTCTGCTTTTTCTGTCTTTGTGTCTTCTCTAAGAAGTCTTTGTTTACCTGGTGATTGTGGTGATGTTCTAGGCTTACTTTTAGAAGTTTTACATTTTTTCTGTTTTGCTTCACATTAATTCTTGTATAGATAATATGTTAGGAATTTAGGCTTATTTTTTTTCCTATTCTTGTTGGTGCTTTATTTCTACCAAGTGTGGCTCCAGCATCTCAGCAAGGTTTTGGTGTCATGGAACTTACGCTGTCTGCTTCTGCACCCTAGTTGCTATTTTGGATCCTCTGACAGTTTTATTACTTTTAAAATTTTTTGGTACTTTTAAAAAATGTTGATTGAAAAAAAATAGTATGCCTTCTTTCCCCTGTTTTTTTCTAGTGAAATGTCATCTTCCAATGTATCATCGATCCCTATATGTAATGTTTCTTTCTTTAAAGTTTTGCACTTTTACAATCCCTAGTTCTTTGACTGTTTATTGAGACTGAACAGCATCATAAGTGTGCTACCTTTTCACAGTAACCCCTGCTTTGACTGGTTTAAATTTTATTGATAATCATAATGATTAGTCATTTACAAGGTCATGCTATAGCCTTTTTAAAAATCTAACAATTCCCTACTCCATTCTTCTTCTTAAACAGCTGAATTTGGGTGTAGAAAACAAATCTACATTGATCTAATTTTAAATACATGAGCACTGATCTCTAGTGTGCCCTTATTCTCTCCTTGCAGTCATTGTATTTTTCCTCTCTTTCTGAATTGCCCAAAAGAGCCACTTTCATCTAATACATCTCTTCATACTGTCATTCTTAGGTTACTAACTTGCTTACTACCTTACTGTAAAATTAAAGTAATGGAAAGAGAACTTTCATAATGTCTTAATATCAGTTTGTTTATTACTTGAATGTGCATGTATTCTACAGTTTCTCTGTGAAGACAGTGTTTATGTGTCTAGCCTAGGTAACTCTTTTACTTATGTGCTGTTCTCCACCTTTTCTGGACAATTCTAGTTTATTGCTTTGTCAAATTTCCCACATTCCCTCCTGTATGATCATATTTTCATTCTCATTACCATACATATGTCATATTAATATCTCCCATCTTAAAAAAATAACACACAAAACCAAAAAACAAAACAAAAAACCTTTTTCTACTTTCTGCTCTGGTCAGTACTCTTCTTTCCTTCTTTTTACAGCAAAACTGTATTAGAGTGTTGCTTTTATTGAGTGTCTACATTTTCTCTCTCTCTTTTTGAACTCCTCCAATAAAGTCCTCAGTGTCAAGGCTGATGATCCTCGTTGCTAAATTAAGAGGTCAGTTCTTAGATTCCCTTTTTTTCTTGATGTATATGAATCTTTTCACACAGCATATCATTTTACTTATTAAAAAGCATCTGTAATTGGCTTATTATGATGCTCCTTTTGGCCTTTCTGTCTTCTCCCTCCTCCCCCCATGTGCTAGGTCTGTCCTAGGATCTCTTCTCTTTTTGGTGTATACTTATTCTCTTGATGATTTTCATCCCGTTTCAACAGTTTTAAGTGCCATCTATATGTCATTGACTTGGAAATGCATATTTCTTCCTAGTCTTCCTCCCTGACTTGTTCTTGTGTCCAAAAGCATATTTAATGTCCTTTTGGGTGTTTAATGGCCACAATTGAGTTCCTGAAACTCTGCCTTCCTCCTCAAACTCTCTAATCTAATTGATGTTTTTTCTGTCTTGTTTGGTGGTAACTTTATCGTTCTGTTGTTTAGGTCATAAGTCTTAGCATATTAGTTTTCTTTATTTCATGCCAGTATCTAATTTGTCAGTCAGTTCTTTTGTAGACAGCATTTCTTACCACACAATACTTGATGAAAAACACTTAATAATACACTTCTTACTGTGCCCTTGCTGCCACTACTCTTTTCTTAGGCACTGTTGTCTTTCACCTACAGTATTACCTGATCTTTTTTGCTGCCCTTTACTCTGCCTCCATTCTATTTGAATATAGCAGTATAGTACATTCCATTATGTTTCAGCCATGGCATGTAACTCTTCTGTTTAAACTTTCTAGTAAGTTTTGATATCTTTCATAGTAAAAGCCTAAATCCTTGCTTCACTACAAGATTTTTACTCCATTACTGCTGACCTCATTTTCTACTCTTCAGCCCCCTTTTTGGTTTATTTCCAGCCATGATGGCTTCATGCTATCATCAATCATCCTGAACATGCTTCTATACTTTCTATCATGTTATATATTTTACTTATTGTGTTTTGTTTATGGTGTTGGATCCATTAAAATGTAAGTGTCATGAATACAAGGGTTTTTTTTGTTTTGTTTTGTTTTTATTATAAGCACTTGCCTATGTGCCTGCCCCTTGTTAGGCATTCATGATTCAGTTCTTCCCTTAATAAGCAGTTCACCACCACCACCAGTTTTTTAAATTTTATTTTCAGATCCGTGATTCTAATTGCAACTATGAGGCATTTATGAACATTATTAAATTGAGTGACAATATTGGAGAGTTAGAAGCAGTCAGAGATAAGGCAGCAGAAGAATTACAGTATCTTAGATCTTTAGATACAGCTGGTGATGGTAAGTGTTTTATGTAAGTAAAAGAATTTTTTTTTAAGTTTATTTACCTTTAAATGAAACCTCAATTTACCTAAATGCCATTTTATGCTATTAGCTGTTTTTACCTTAATTAAATTTTTCTTACTATTTTAATATGTACTTTAAGTTATTATTTTCCAAATGTGTGACTGTGACTATTGCAGTTATTGCTAAAGTACAAATTATAGGCCTGCTTTAATTTAATTAAATAACTTCACTGTACAATTTCAGATTGTTTCTTTTACTGCATAAAAATTATGTATTAATTGGTTGTTTTGTTAAATTGTGGTAAATGCAAGTTTAAAGTATTTCACAAAAAACATAATCAGTTTATTTGTTTTTAGATATCAACACTATCAAAAATCAAATAAATAGCTTATTATTTGTAAAGAAAGTATGTGACTCAAGAATACAACGGTTGCAGTCAGGCAAAGTAAGTATGAAGTACTTTTGAATTAACGTTTGGTTATAAATACTTCATAGAGCTTAAAATACCTAGTATGTGACCAAAAAAAGGGGATATTAACCAGTATAATACTCTACAACAGACTTTTTTGCAAGTTTTCTCTTATACAGTGTAGTATGATAAATATTTATTGGAGCAAGTCAAAGAGATTAAAACTTTTTAAATTCTCCCTACCTCCTCCAAATAATGAATGCTGCTGGGCCTTCAGTCCTCTTCTGAACTGTGGGTGTAGGTCTCAGTTTCACAGGATGGGATTTGTTAAAGTTGTTGGGAACGACGCCTAATTTAATAGATACCAAGTGAAATTTAGAAGATAAGATAATAATGCTTGGAAACACTTGGCAATGTAGGACAAAATAAGTACAACATGCTCAAATACAGGATGATATTGTTGTAACTAACAGAGATTTTATTCATTAGTTTGCTTATGCCTCTACAGAAGGTGATGTGATAGTCTGCATAGCATATGCACACAAATTACCAAAATACGGTGTGAAAATCGGCCTAAAAAATTATGCTGTGGAGCATATTGTATTACTACAGCTAGCCCACAGGCTTTTTAATAGGTATGGCATGGACAAAAATCTATCAAGGCCAAATCTAGGTGACGAAATGAATACAGTGTAGAAAAACATTGATGGTCAACCTCTGCTTCACCTGCTATTTAAATTCAGGTCTTACTAGAACTACTACTGGCAATAAAGTTTGTGGGGCCTTGGCTGGGTAAGAGGCAGACATCAGGAGGATTGCTGTTTGACATCAGCCTAGGAAAATGGTTCATAAGACCCTACTTTTAAAATACCCGACACAAGAAAAGGCTGGCTGAGTGGCTCATGTGGTAGAGTGCCTGCCTAGACTAAATTTTGTATATATATTTATAGAGAGAGAGAGTGAGTTTGTGGGACTCTGAAAGAAGCTGTGAATGGAGGATTGCCTATCCCTCATATTACCAAACAATTCCCTGATTATGATTCTGAATGCAAGGTGTTTAACAGAGAAGTACATCAGAAGCACATCATGGGTTAGAACATTGCAAATTGTATTGTTACTTAGGGAAAACATGCTTACCAGAAACAATTCTCTCAGTACATAAAGAACTATATAATTATAGACGTGAAGGAAATGCTCATGCTGCTTTTCAAAAGAACCCATCTATGAGAAGCAGCCTGGGGGAGAAGTCAAAAAGAAGAGGTAGAACTGCTTCAAAATGTTCATTGCCCAGAAAATAGATTGAGTGCTAAAAAGAAGACAGGTTTCCTCCAGAGCTCATGAGTAAGCTGCTAAGAGCTAAGCCAAACAATAGTTTTTGCAAAGATTTTTTTAGATAAAGACAGTGAAATTATTGACCAAACCCCCAGACCCCCAAAAATCTACTTGAAAAATGCTAAAATATTCCTTGATTTATTTATTCATTTACTTTCTATTTATTCAGAACTCAAGATTTGTTGAATTTTGCAAATTGGGCACCAATTGAACCAAATGAACTTTCTTCATGGAGCTTATCTTTTAGTTTATAAGTCAGAAAGTAAATGATAATTAATATATCTTATCAGTTGGTGATACATGCTATACAAAATTATAGCTAAGTGTAGAATATAGAAAATGTCTAAGAGTGTTTTAGGTGCTGAGAGCGTTGGAGACATTTTAGCATAGAGGCTTGTAAATAACAGGAGAGAGTACTGTGGGATTTTTGTTTTTTTGTTTTTGAAGAATCTTTCGGGCAGTAGTGAAAACAAATGTAAGGGCCCTGACATCAGAACATCCTTGCTGAGTTAAAGAGAGTCACATGGCTTGGTGAGTAAGCGAGGAATGTGCAGGGAATAAAGTTATATAAGAACCTGGGAGTTAGATCATATATGGTTTTACTGGCCATGCCACGATTTTAATTTTATTCCAATTGTGATGGAATCAACTGGAGGTTTGCCATAGCAAGTGATGTGATCTGGCTTACAATTTAAAGTAGTTACTTTGACTTGTGAAGAATCCACTGGTAGGATGGTAAGGGTGAGGATGAAAACTGAGAGACTGTTTATAAAACTTCTGAGTTAGGTCAGGTAAGAGATCTGTCTGTGGAGGTTGTGAGAAGTAAGTAGAGACTGAATAAAATCGTCATGTGATTTGCTAGTGGACAGGATTAGAAAAAAGAACTCCAGGGGGCTGATTCCAAGGTTTTCTGTCCTAGGCAACTGCATTAATTGTAAGGGTATTTAGTGAAATGTAAAACTGAGGGAGGAGGTTTAAAAGAGAGAATCAAGTTTGGGATATTTCAATTTGCCATCACTCTTTAACATTCAAGTATAGATGCTAATTGGTAATCTTGAGTTCATGGGAAAGTTTAGTGATTGAGGTAAACTTTGTGAATTCACTGAATTATCAAATGTTTATTTAATGTTAAGAGACTGGATGAGGTTATCTGAAAGATACGTAAGAAAGAACATTCCAGTAACTTAGTACTAAATCACTTCAGTATATAGTGTTTAAAATGAAGTGAAGGATCCAGACAAACAATTGAAGAGTAAATGGCTATAAGATTGAAGGAAACCCTGGGAATGTGAAACCAAAAAACCACATGTAGTAAATATTTAAAGAGGAAAAGTTTCAGATATGTCAAAGTTCAGCATTAAGGTGAAGATTGAGAATTGACCATTTGGATTTGCCATCATAATGGTAATCTGATAACAGCAGTTGCGGTAGAGGACTGGAGAAGAAGCCTGATTGGAGTGGATCTAGGAGAGAATAGGAAGAAGTAAATTAGAAACAATGACAATAGATAGACTGTAGATGAGCTTACCATAAAGGAAAGCAGAGATTTGGGGGTTTAAAGCAGAAAAAACATTTTTTTTAAAAAAGAAACTTTAGTTTTTAGCATAGTCGCCTCAGATTTTCATTGAAAATTTGTGACTCATCAGTCTTACACTTTTGGACTATAGCTAAATTTCTTGAGGAATGGAAGAATTATTTTTAAAAGTCTTGTTAGGTTGGCTAGATAAATTATAATTGACTGAAAAATTACCAGTAAAAAGATAAAAGTTTGATACTCACCACAGGTCCTCATTATCACAAACGTGTGTGTTGCAGTACCTGTGCAAATTAGAAGTGTGATATGGTTTATATGGTTTTATTGCCCCCCCCATTTTTTGTTTGTTTGTTTGTTTGTTTTTTGGGTGGTACTGAAGTTTGAAGTCAGGACTTCATGCTTGCTAGGCAGGTACTCTATCACTTGAGCCACCACCAGCTGTGCCTTTTTCTTTAACTATGTATCTGATCTAGATCTTAATGTTAGTGATCTTTTAGCATTACTATTTAAGGTATATTTGCCCAGATACTTTTTAATACTAAATTAAAAAAAAATTAGATATTTTGTTTGGAAGCCTGTCAATTCCATTTGAATATCAAACTTTTATCTTTTTACTAGTTCAGGTTATACAGCATTTGCTTTTTGAAAGTCAGTTCAGAATTCCCACAAATTTCCAGTTTTATATCTTTGTTACTCATGTAGAAATCTTAGGAACTAGTGAAAATAGCTCACAGAAACATCATGGATTTTAGTGGAAAGGCAGAATTTGAAAACCCAGACTGATAACTTGTCAGCCCTGTGATTATAGGCAATGTTTCTCATGTTTGTTTTCCTCAGTTAAATGGTTGGGGAGACAGATCTGAAAGGATTACTGTGCAGGTTAAATGAAGTAGTGTGTGACATCTAACCAGCATAGTGCCAGACACAAAATGTTCTTTAAATTTTGGATCCACCTTTTTCATTTTTGAAGTTTTTTTTCCTTTGTTCTTTATGTAGATAGTTGCCTTACTCTATATCTTTGAAAAGAGTTTATAGCTCACTGTTCATATTGTATGAAAAGAAACACAATTTCTTTTGCAATTATAGAAGTTTTGCTTCCTTAGGAGGAGTAATCTCGTTGGGAGTATTTTCTATTTTCCTAGTAGATAGACTTTAGTAAATTTAAAAGTGTTGGGATTTATTTATTCTTGGATATATTAAGCATTTCTGACATCCTCTTCCCCTGGAATGCCCATTTTCATTTGTAGTATGTAGAGACAGAGAATACTTGAAAATACAATGACTTAGATTTATTTTATTTTGGAAGAATTAGTGTTTATCATATTTTTAATAAATATTAGTCAAGTTCCTCTTAAAATAAGTGGGAATTTAAATTCACTAGCCAGAGTATTTTATTGGGCAACAACATGATTGAAAAGGGAAAACTTAATTTTGTTCTATTTTAATTTAGCGTGGGATTTTTTTCCTCATGTTTATGTGAAGTTCCTCATTCTAATTAGTGATAGAATAAAATACTAACCTAGTTTCACTTTTGCCTGTAGGAAATAAATACTGTGAAATTGGCAGCAAACTTTGGGAAACTTTGCACAGTCTCCCTGGACAGCATTCTTGTAGACAATGTTGCACTACAGTTTTTTATGGGTAAGTAAAATTTTATTTAAACAGTACAGCCACTAGAATACTTTTTTTACTGTGGTAAAATACACAAGACTTTGAAACTTACTCCTTTTAAGTGTACAGTTCAATATTAAATACACTATTAATGTACAACTACCATCCATCTCTATCTAATGTTCTGTATCTTGTAAAAGTGAAATTCCATACTCATTAAAAGTGATTGGCTTCTTTCACTTAGTGTAATTGTCTTTAAGATTCATCCATGTTGTAGCATGTGTCACTTTTCTTCCTTTTTAAGGCTGATAATTTATTCTCATTTCTCTCTCTCTCTCTCTCTCTCTCTCTCTCACACACACACACACATTTTGCTTATTAGGGGACTCATGGGTTGCTTTCATGTTTTAGCTACTGTGAGTAATGTTGCTGTGAATATAAGCGTGTAAGTAACTCTGAGATTTCTGCTTTCAAGTGAAGTTACTGAAGTTTTAACTTTACAGGCCTTTACCTGCCAAAGCTTTTCCTGAATGATGCAGTTTTTCAGGAGACTTTAGAGTTACAAATTAGTTACATCAGATAGGTTGTGCCAGTGCAAACATCATGTAGGTAGGGAGATAGATTCCTGGTGCTTCTTAATTCTAATATTTTTTTGACAGTTAAAAAATTTTAAGTAGTACTAAATTTTGAACCATTAATATTTTGTATATCATATTTGACCCCACCATTTATTTTTATTTTCTGAACTCTTTCTTTAGAAACCATGAAGATAGAGATATATTTTGTTTTGAATGAAATAAATGTTTATCATAACTGATGAACTAAGCTACCTTTAAAATAAATACTAGGCAATTCTAGAAAGTACTATGTTGGCAACACACAATGTATATAACCTGCTTAAGTAATTTTTATTCATGTGTAGATGAGAGGCTTTGTTTTTATACCATTTAAATGTATACATATATATTTTATTTATATTACTTTAAGATAAATTTTATCTAGGGGTATTTTCAGTAAAAATTCCTGAGTCTTCATTTGTGTGATATAAAGTACTAATATGTGGGCTGGGCATGGTGGCCCACGTCTGTACTGCTCCCTACGTGAGAGGTGTTCATCTGGAAGATCTCTGTTTGAGGCCAGCAGGACAAAAAGCTAGACCCCATCTCAGTAAACAAGCCAAGTGGTACACACCGTAATCTCAGGTCTGCTGGAGGTATAGAAAGGAGGGTCAGGGTCCGAGGCAGGCCTTATGCAAAAAGCAGGATACTCTATATAAAAAAAAAGTATAAATATGTGACTCGCTAAATTGCTAATCTTGTAATATATCTATGGAACATCATATTATTACCAGTAATCTTTGTTCAGAACAAATGTTTAATGTTGGTGAAGTAGTTTAATGCTGATGAAGTCTTATGTAGCAACTTTGTTCACTGGAGAGTTTATCATCAAATATAAGATTTGAAACTTTTAAGCTGGGCATGATAGCACTTCGGAAACTGAGGCAGGAGGATCTCAAATTCCTGGTCAGGTTGAACTACATAGTGAAACCCTGTCTCAGAAACAAACTAACAAATAAATATTTCCTCCTATGTTTCCTACATCGCTGGTATATAGCATAACCAACTTACAGGTTGTATTTTACCTTAAGGATTTGCTAAAAATGTTATTTTTGAAGGTTTAATTCTTACTTATTTGTCATGTAGAAACATGAACCCAAAATTGTGTGACATTAGTAGCTATCTTTTTGTGGGTTTGTTTCCATAGATTACATGCAGCAAACTGGAGGCCAAGCACATCTTTTCTTCTGGATGACAGTGGAAGGATACCGGGTTACAGCCCAGCAGCAGCTGGAAGTTTTATCGAGTCATCAGAGAGATGGAAAACACCAAACCAACCAAACCAAAGGTCTTTTAAGAGCAGCTGCTGTTGGAATTTATGAGCAGTATTTATCCGAAAAGGTGAGCATATGTTTTGGTTACTGTTTTTTTTTTCCCTTTGGCATTATTGTCATTAATAATAATTTGCACAGTACTTACAAATATGTACAGTATACTTGCATTACTTACACCAGGCATGATTACCTCAGAAATTATTTAATTTAATCTTAAGAACAACCTTCCTGTGTATTTTATCCTCATCGTTTGTGTGAGTATCTGATGTTTAGAAAATAAAATTAATGTGATCTAGGTCATGCAAATACTAAATGACCAAAGTCAGTGATGGTCATATATATTTCAGATTCAGAGACAGAATAGAGGGCTGTAGAGTGGCTCAAGCAGTAGAGTCCTGCCTAGCAAGTGTGAAGCCCTGGGTTCAAACCCTAGTGTTACCAAAAAACCCCAAAAGTCAGTATAGATTGAAAGTAAAAGAATGAAAAAAAGATAAAACATACAACAGTAAATGAAAGAGCTAGAATGGCTATACTAATAATCAGACAAAATAGAATTTAAGACAAAAATAGTTATTAAACAAGAGAGACATTCTATAATTACAAAAGTGTCAATTGATCAGGGTGATAAAATAGTTGTAAACATTTATGCACCTAACAATAAAGCTCTCAAATACATGAAACAAAAATTTACAGAATTGACCGGAGAAAGAGGCACTTCAACAGTAACAGTTGGATTCTTAATACCTTGTTCTCAATAATTCATAAAGTAGTTACATAGAGAAAATCATCAGTAAGAAATAAATCTTGAAGAACATTATAAAGACTATTTCACCTTACCTCAAAATACACAGTATTTTCAAGAGTACACAGAACTCCAGGATAAAACATATGCTCAAGCATTAAACAAATATTAATTTAATATTATTGAAATCATACAAAATATGTCCTTTTATCAGAATGAAATCAAATTAGAAATCAACAGAAGGAAGTCTGGAATTTCTATAAATATTTGAAGTTAACATTTCTAACTAGTCTGGGTCAGTAAGAAATCACAGGAAAACTAGAACTTTTTTCATATTTAGATTTTAAATTTACAACTAAAATTGTGTGTATGCATTGTGTACAATGTGATGGTTTAAAAACTAGACAGCATTTTCTGTTGAAAAATTAAAATATATGAAAATTTATGGATTATTGCTAAAGCAGTGCTCTGGAAATTTGTAGCTTTAAAATGTCTAATTAAAAGAAAGCTCTAAGTTATAGTTAGGTAAGACAAATCTGGTGTTCTATTGTACAGTAGGGTGACTATAGATAATGATATGTATATTTAAAGAAACCTAGAAAGGGTTTTTGCATGTTTGTACTACAAGGAATTAGTATATGTTTGAGATGATGGATATGATTGACCTGGATTGAGCGTTAAACAGTGTATAAATGTGTTAAAATATCACATGAAACTTCATAAATATGCACAATTTTATGGGCCAGTTGAAAATAATAAAAAGAATAAAACAAGAAAGATTTAAAATCAATCCACATTTTCCCAGCAAACAGAAGGAAGGAAACAATAAAGATTGTAGTAGAAATTAATGTAATAGAAAATAGAAAAAACAGTAGTGAAATCAATAAAACTGAAAGTTGGTTATTTGAAACCATCAGTAATACTAATAAACCTTTAGCTAGAGTGACTGTGAGAAAGTGGTAGAAGACACAGAATACCAAAATCATTAGTGAAAGCCATGACCCTATAGAAATGAAAAAGAATATAAGCAGATATTATGAGCAACTTCATGACAACAATTAGACTACTCAGATGAAGTGAACAAATTCTAGGACAATACAAATTCCTGACTCAAGAAGAAATAGAAAATCTAATATAATAAAGCAATTGAATTAATAACTAAAAATCATGTCATGAAAAGAAGCCAAGGCACACATAATTTTTCTGATAAATTCTGTCAAACATTTCAAGAAGAAATAATATTAATGTTTCTCACAGTCTTCAGAAAATAGTGGAGAAACACTTTTCATCTTATTTTATGGGGTCATATGATTCTGATGCCTAAGCCAGTGGTGTCACTTAGAAAACTACAGACTAGTATCTCTCATTAATACAGACAGAAAAGTACTTCAGATTCAAAGTCATTCTCTCCGTAGATTTTTCAATGGCTATGTTATAATACCTTTTAATTCTTACTAGCACATTTAAAAAATTTTTAAGTATGAATTTTATTTGGAAACTGCTCATTAATTCATGTGCTAAATTTTTTGCCTTGTCATACCTTAAAAACTAGTTTTAAGAATAATTATATATCAAACATCTATGTACATTATCCAGCACAGGAATTGAAACATTTATTGTACTTTTGAAGCTCCCTGTATATTCTTCACTTGTTCTTACCTGTCCTGCTCACCTTTCTTACTTCCTGATGAAGCCAGTTTCCTGCTTTCATTTGCTTTCTCATATGTTCTTGTCATAAATATATGCTGTCATAACCAGTATATTGCAATGCATTGCTTTTTTCCCCTCTCACCATTGCATTGAAATCTATACATGTTTGTTCATGCATGCAATAGTAGTTAGTTTGCACTGAAATATTTTATTGCATGGATATTGAAGAGTTTGTTGTGATAAATGTCCCAGTTTGAGGCAATAGGTTAAGAAGGTTAAGAAAAATACAAAACCCATACTAGGGCCCCCTAAATAAGGGCTGAAAGCAACATCTTTTTAGGATCTAATGGTGATAGTATAGATTATCCACACTCTAGTCATTGCAGTTTTCCCTTGATTACTCATGTTTGCAACTATAATTTGCTATGCCTCTCAGTGATACAATTTAAATTTGTTTTAACCAAAAGTGTTGGTTTTTCTTTCACTTTACCAATATTGTACTTTGTATTGCAACAGGAGTAGTTTTCAACATTGTGAGTATACTGGCCATATTTAAGAATTTATTGAAAATAAGAATGATTGCAGTACCAATGCCAGCATGATCTAGACATTGCCAAAAAATGCTAAATGTCTGTGTTATTTTAATGAAGATGAAAGAACATAGGAAATTGGATTAGGAAGAGTGTATAACCAAAATAGAGCATACTACATAATTTGCAAAAACATTTTGGAATTGGTCATGTTGAAAAAGGAGATATGAAAGCATATACAGAAACTTCTAAGGCAATAAATTTTTTTTTCATCTCCTAAAAAACACCAATGATGAGTTGAAAATATGCTGCGGCATACCACACAAATGAATACATTAGCCTTGGCATGGTGTTTTGTTCCCTTGGTTGCTGTCTGAAATTGAGTAAGGTTAAATTCCTGACTAAAATGACCAAATAAGAAAAGAAAATCTGATGAAGTTTAGAGATGCTTTTGTCAGATCTTACCAACGTAGTCATGTTTTCTATAGTATATCAAGCGGTTCATCAAATCAGGTCAACAGAAATGTTCCCATAGCTCCTATCTACTTTGACTGGAAAAATGGAGTTTTAGATCTCTTCTTGATGTGTAAGATTTTAGAAAACTAAAGAAAACTTAAATCAACCTTTGTCCATTCATCTACATATTTGGTATGAATGTGAACATAAATTTTGACAAGTTACATTCAGTCTATAAATTTCTTATCAAAGTAAATGAAAAGATCTTAATCTTACCTATTAAATACCATGTATTTCCTCTACCCAACACTGCTGAAAGATGAGATGATTTCTTGTAATACTGAAGTTATCACAGTGAAAGTTTTTGGTTAGTTACATGTCTATAATGTAGCTGTCAATCTTGCCAGCTATAGAAAAGATAGTAAATGTTGGCCTGTAGTGAACTTATAATGCCCCTCTCTAATTTGAAAATCTTTTGAGAACGGAGAGAAGGATTACAGTAAACAGATGTTTGTTTACTGTTTCTCTAAATCTAGAGGGTGATCTTTGAAGAGGCCAAAAGGAGCCTACAAAAGAATGAACTAAGTGACCTAAGTTGTTTGATGTTATGTGAGACTATGCCAAAAACTCATGTAAGACTGAGAGTAAAAACAAACAAACAAAAAAAACCGATGTCACCAGAAACTTAAAAAGATTTTCATAATTTCTTTAATAAAATTAATTTATTTGGAATCCAACTTGAATTTCACGTATTTTAAATTATCTACATATTTTAAAGTTCTTTTCCCTGAGAAAGAGATATTCATCATATGGTGACATCATTATACTTCAAAGTATTTATTTAAAAATGATATTTTAGACCTGGATAGATGCTATAATGAATTTATAGATACTAAGGACCTGATGGACAAATAAGCAATAGATACAAAGTTGGACATTTTTTTGAGAACAGTAAGCTAGTTCTTTCTTACCAAAAACTTAACTGTTTGAAGTAAACAAAATCTCAGTTATTTCATGTTCGAATGATTTTGTTGAAAATATATTTAACTTGATGCCATTGCATAGGATTGGCACAAAAATAAGTGTGAATTGTGTTTTGAAAAGAGCAGAGTTAAAGTAAAATTTATATTTTGCTATATTCAACTATAACAAAACACAAAAAAGTGTATTCTACTGGCCATTCAAGAGGTATTTTGAAAAGGAAACAAAGAATAAAAATACCCTACAGCATCATGGGACAGATAGAAAATTCATGGCTTTTAAAAATAAATATATATAATATCTATTTATATGTATATCTGCTTCTATGTATGTACATTTTCCTCCAAAAAGTCTGGACTTCTATATTTCAAGGATACTAAATGATATAGTATGCAAAATTTAAATATCCTATTATAGATATTCTTTCACTAATACCACAAAAAATTAAAAATAAACAAGACAAAACAAAATCCTGACTAAAAAGAAAGACAAAAATGTCCTATTGTACATACATTCTACTTGTGCAGAGTCTTATGGTTTTTTATTTTAATAATTTAAAATAGTATAGCCTATAAAATTTAAGTTTCCAGTAGAGTCTTCCCCCCACTTTGGTGGTGCTGGAGATTGAACCCAGGGCCTTGCACATGCTAAGTAAGCACTGTACCACTGAGCCAGAAAAGAGCTTTTGAAAGCTAAACAGCCAATAAAGAGATTTTTTAAAGTTAAATTGCTATACCAAAAAACAGAAATGTAAACTGTTACTTTGCCACATGGGTTGTTTAATCAGTAGTATTACTACTAATTGCCACTGCTAACCACTCTTACTGGGTTTTTTTGGTGGTGCTGGAGTTTGAATATAGGGCTTTATGCTTGCTTAGCAGGTACTCAACCTCTTGAGTCACTCTCCCAGGCCTTTTTGCATTGGTTATTTTTGAAATAGGGTCTCACTCTATTCCTGCAGGGATGACAGGCTCATACCACCACAGACAGCCATTGACTGAGATGGGGGTCTCATGAACCTTTTGCCCAGGCTGGCCTCGAACTGCTGTTCTCCTGATCTTTGCCTCCTGAGTACCTAGGGCTACAGAGTTAAACCACTGCACCCGCTTTCTGTTTTCTTTAAATAACCACATTCATATAGTAGAAAAGTGCATTTCAGGGAAAATACTTATTTTCTTATTTTTATATTAAATAATATCATATCACTATTTTTAATATAATTCTTTTTTTAAAAACAAAGTTATAATTAGTTCTGTCCCATGATAGCTTTCTAAAAATGCTGATCATCCTTTTCCAAGGATGAAGCTTAATCTAACTTTGTATACCTGAAATTTTTAGGAAAAATTAAAAATTAAATGAAATAAATTTAAAATACTTTTTAAAATTTTGTCTCTTTATTTCCTGGCAACTGAGTTTAATGTGCATAGAGGGCACATCAAAGAGCAAAATCAACATCATACTCCTCCCCTGTTCCTATTCTGGAGGACCCTCAAACCAAAACAAAGGAGTACTTTCCTTCTACTGAGAAATCAACAACACAACCTACTTTTCACAAGAGTGTTGAATTGACACGTATATTAAAAGTTCTGTAGCACTATTCCTACATATTTAAGTCCGTCTGTTTATTTTTCTAGGATTTATCCACTCTGTTCCTTAGATATTTTATTGGTTAGAAACGAGAACGTATTAATATAATTTTTGTCAGTTTCTCTAGAAGTTGCCATTTTTAGCACTCATTTACTGGACCCGCAGCCTTCAGAACTAAAATTCAAATGTTGAAGTGCCAGGGTTTAGGTTATTTTTTTTTCTTTTAGTAAGATAATTTTTGAAATTGAAAGGTCAAATGTTGTGTTTCTGTATAGGATCTGACAAATATTTTGAAATGAAAGTTCTTGGAACAAATTAATTCCTCAGACTTATTTCCCTCCCATATTACATTAGAACTTTGCTGCAGCATTGGTTATAAAAACAAACTTAGGGTGATGACAGTCTCTTTTAGTGGTCATTGAATAGGATGCTCTAGTGTCAGATAAGTAAATTTTATTTCTGAGCAATATTATACGCATCTAATACTGATGCATACTAACCACTAATGTAACTTGATGACACTATTTACTTTGTGACAGACATTGTGCTAATATGTCTTACGTATTAATATGTCTTAATCCCTATCAGTGATTATAAGTATTACCTTCATTTTACAGAAAGGCATAGTAAGAGGTAATTCCCTCAGTAAAAATCCGTGCTTATCTACCAATATTCTACAGAATACATGATGAAGAAAGGCTATAGCTAGCTCTATTTCTGCTTCCTTAAATAGCAAAATGCCATTTACAGACCAAAGATTCTTATGTGCCAGTTGCTTTAAAAAGTATGATTCTGCTGGGCCTGTAATCTTAGCTACTCAGTAGGCTGAAATTGGGAGGATCATGGTTCAGGGCCAGCATGGGCAAAAAGCTTTTGAGAACCCATTTCAACCAATAAAAGTTGGGCATGATGGCACACACCTGTCACCCAATCTAGTTGAGATGAGTAAATAGAAGGATCGAGGTCCAGGCCAACTTAGACATAAACACAAGACCCTCTTTCAAAACTAGCTGAACAAAATGGGCTGGGGTGTGAATCAAGTAGTGGTAGAACACCTCTCTCACAAAGATGATACCCTGAGTCCAAACCCCAATAATAGCAAAAATAAGATATTATGATTCTGTTATTCTCTTACTGTTCATTATTAACTTGTATTTAGAAATGACAAAGATGATTGCTCTGTTGTTTTCTGTTTGCTAGGCATCTCCAAGAGTTACTGTTGATGACTATTTAGTAGCAAAATTAGCAGATACTTTAAATCATGAAGATCCAACTCCTGAAATATTTGATGACATTCAAAGGAAGGTATTATATATTTTATCTTTCTTGAAAAAAATATACACTTTTATGTGTGTGTAATTTTTAAAAGTTACTGAGACATCATAAAAATTCGAGTAGTTACTAAGAAGATAAGTTGTGGGGTAAAAATACCTGTTAATTCCAAAAAATGAAGACACATATTTTTGTTTATCTTTTTAATTGCTTAATAAGGGAAATCCTTACTTTGGATTGCTTTGTTCATATCTGCTGAAGAAGCAGATATGCTAGCTTAGAACTTGATGACTTGATGCATTAAAAGTGAAAACACTTGAAGAAATACCATAGGCAGACTTCCTGAATGAGATTCCCAATAGCTCAGGAAATAAGAACAAGAATTGAGAAGTGGGATTATATCACATTGATAAGCTTCTACACATGAATGGAAATAATCACCAGAATGAGGAGACAGTCAATGAATAAGAGAAAATCTTTGCCGGCTATTGATCTGACAAGGAATGGATTAATATATAGAAGATACAAAGAGCTCAAAAAATCAAATGCCAAAGAATGGGCAAATGAACAGAAAATTCTCAATAAAAAAGAAGTACAAATGGCCAAAAAACACGTGAAGGAACATTCAACATCCTTAGCCATGAAGGAAATTCAGATCAAAACTACATTGAGATTCCATCTAACTCCAGTGAGAATGACTTTCGTCAAGGGAAACAACAACATGCTGGCAAGGTTGCTGGGGAAAAGGAATCCTAGGCACTGTTGGTGGGAAAAATTAGTGCAGCCACCCTAGAAATCAATATGGAGGTTCTTCAAAAACTAAAAATAGAACTACCACTCCTGCTGTACAACTTCTGGGCATATATTGTATAGTAAGTTACTATACAGTAGAGACACCTGCATATTCATGTTGGTTGCAGCACTATTCACAATAGCCAAGCAATGGAACAGGCTAGGTGCCTATCAATTGATGAATGGATAAAGAAGATGTGATGTGATGTGTGTGTCTATGCATGCCCACAAAGACAGTGTAATATTCAGCAATGAAGAATGAAATTAGATGTTTGCAGGAAAATGAATGCAACTGATGGTCATATATATTTGTATTTTCAAATATATTACATATAGGACGGTATTGGAAAAGAACTCTTAAAAGGGGAGTCGTGGAAGGGGAAGAAGAGAGTCATGGGGAGTGAATGACTATAATATATTACATGCATGTATGAAAATAAAATAACCCCATTAAAAATTAGAAAGAAAACAAAACAAAAAGGAGGGAGGGCCTCTAGATTGGAGGGGGATAAAAGTAATGAGGGGATGGTAAATATTATGAAAGTACATTATATGCACATATGTAACTATCACAGTGAATGAACTCTCTTTGTACAGTTGTATGCTTTAGAAAAAGCATGCCTTGCAAATTCATTTTAATATAAGCCTTGAGCATTTATATGTACTTGGTTTTTTTATAAAACACCACTTTCTAGAATATTACAGATAACCTACTGTGATGTTACTTGTGTTGGAGTAGGACCCTTTTTGTATGTGTGTGTGTGTGTCAGTACTGGGGCTTGAACTCAGGGCCTCACGCTTGCTAGGCAGGTGTTCTACCACTTGAGCCACTCTGCCAGCCCTAGTAGGACCCTTTTAATTGTAATTGTTTTCTGGAGGGACCAAAGGAAATTATTAGTCATGATAATCTTGTAACTGATACATTATATAACAAATCCTCAAGGAAGCTTTTGGTGGACTGGTGAAGTGGCTCAAGTGATAGAGTGCCTGCCTAGCAAGGATAGGACCTGAGTGCAAACCCCAGTACTGCCAAGTGAAGCTTTGATTATATTTTATTTAGTGAAAATCACCAAAGATTTGTTTTAATTATTGAACATCTTGATTATTTCAATAAGGTATATGAATTGATGCTGCGTGATGAAAGATTTTATCCTTCCTTCAGACAGAATGCACTTTATGTACGTATGTTAGCTGAGCTGGACATGTTAAAAGATCCCAGCTTCAGAGGATCAGATGATGGAGATGGAGGTAAGGTGGTATAAACTTAACCACCTTGGTTAAGTTTATGTGTATGTGTGTGTGTGTGTGTGTGTGTGTGTATGTGTGTGTGTGTGTGTGTGTGTATGTGTCCCTATATGTTCTGAACACCAAAAAAAGAACATTTTATATAAGATAGAAACTGTTTTGGGTTCTGAAGGCATAGTTCAAATGGTGGAGTGCTGTCTAGCAAACACGAAGCCCTAAGTTCAAACCCCAGTACCAAAAAAAAAAAAAAAAGCACTCCAAACAATTGTTTTTGAAGCTCAACTATAAATTTCAATATATTTGTATATTTTCAATTGTGTAAATGAATGACAAAAGTTTAGTTGCTATATTAAATAAAATGTTGATATTTACTAATTATGGACGTCTTGAACTCTTGAAGAATAATGTATTCTTTGAAGTGGTGGGTCACTGGTTTTCTGGCATTTAATTAAGTGGCATTGCATATGGATGATTTATGAGACTTTCATTGTTTTTGTCTCAAATGTACTATCAAGAATAAATTGACTTAATAAATATATTAAGAGACAATCCATTCCCTCACACTAAAGATTAATTTTATTTATAATGTTTCTTAACCCGGTAAGACAGAACTAACAAAATAGTTTTGACATTTCCTAATGGGCTTCACTCTGCAGTGTTTTCCTTATATTTACATTGTGCTGGACAACTTGTTAAAACAATATGAGAATAAAATCAAAAATATGTAATACTTGCTCTTCTGTACATGAACATTGTGGTTTTTTTCTTTTTGTAGTACTGGGGTTTGAACTCAGGGCTTTGTGCCTTTTAGACAGGCTCTCTACCCCTTGATCCATGCCTCCAGTCCATTTATGTGTATGTATGTATGTATGTGAGATATCAGGTACATAAGTGTTTTCACTTAAATAACCTGGTTAACTTAGTAATTTAGGGTTTAAAATTTAGTAGTTTGGGAGTATTCAGCAATTTTTCTTTATTGTTGTGTTTTGTGTTGGTTATGTGATTTGCATTGGTGTTTGAACCTTAAGATGAAGCACCACTTCAAAAGTTTTTACTGTATGACTAAGTTGAATTTTCCCCTTTCAGAATCTTTTAATGGGTCTCCTACAGGAAGCATAAATTTGGTAAGTACTATTATGTGTACTTTAATTATTAAAGTGACTTGGAAATAATATGAAAAGCTAAGCCTTGACATATGTAAATAAATAACATATTAGAAGCCCCCAAGTTGTCCTTCAGGAATATAAGACATTATTATTCTTTAAAGAAATGTTAATATAATATATATAAGATACCTGTGATGATTATAAACTTCTAGATATTCATTAAAGTTTGCATCAAAACAAATTGAAGTCATTGTAAAAAAATTTTTTTTACTCATAGTTTTAACCAAGTCTGTTTTTTAAGATTAGAGGCTTAAGAATGATATTTTTGGCATACAAATTGTCATTGGCATTGCAGGGTAAAATGTGAAATAATGACCATGTCCAGCTTTACCACTGAATAACTTATCTCATAACAAGTTGTGAGGAGAAAATATTACTGTCCAATGAAGATTTCAGTGCAGAGGAGATAGGGAGTTCTGGGAGAGAGGCGGAGGATTGTTTTGTTGTTCCTTCTCACCTGCATTACTTTTTCTTTAAACCTTTTGCTTTTAGATGTCTGTTGTCTTATGTTGTCAATATACTATTACATTTATTTCTAAAACAACCCTGTTGAGTAAGTAGTATTAAGTTATATTGTTATGCAGAGTATAACCTTTAGCAAAACACTAAATACTTGTGGGTATGCCAGATACTTTGTAACTTTTAAAATGGTTTCCTAAATAATTTGGAATTACTGTCTTTTACTTGTTATATTCCAAAGTGTTTTTCTAAAGAAAGGAATTGCCTCTGGCACGTGAAATAACCCTTCAATAATACCTGCAATAATGTTCAGTATATAAAGTTTCCAGTGCTGTGAGACTTTTTTTTTATTATTTGAAATTTTCTAGTATTTACATTTGTAGTGTTTCTACAAGTGTTTAAAGAATGGTAATCTTTTTCTTTATTCCTTGTCTGTAATAAATGCTTTCTCAAATAGAGACCCTCTTTGTCTCAGAATCAAAAAGTCACATTTGAGATTCGTGACTTGCGGTATTATGTTATTCTTATAAATCTGTTTAATCCAGGCTTTTAAGTAGCTGGAGTCTTTCAGAAGTTTTTTAAAATACTTAATACAAATACTTAATACAATACTTAATACAAAGTTAGTGACCAACTGCATTTTAAAAATGCACAATAGCTATGCCTGTACTCCCAGGTATTTTTTTGCTAAGGCAGTTTTACTTACTTTGCTTGCAAGAAGTTTTAAGAATCTTAGCTCAAGGATTAATTTGTAAATTGTGTGTTATTTCAGGACATTATTAATGACTTTTACCAGTCAGTACTTATGTTTCTAAATTAGCTATAGTTCTATAGTTAATATTATTAACTTTAAGTCTTTTTATTTACTTAATTGTACTATTTAAGAGAACTTTTTCCATCAGATTTTTCATCATATGTAATAAAGTATCTCTTCATTGTTTATTTTAAGTGTGTCAAAAGACATTTACTTCCAATGTCTTTTACAACTTAGGAGTTGTAATAGTATGTGGTGCCAGCATGTTTAAATTGATAAGTACATTTAGGTTTTTTAAATGTTACCTATACAGGGAAGGTTACCATTATTAATAATGCCTTATTTAAGAAAATTGTTCTATGTTTTCTGTGCTGACTTACAATGAAAAGAAGTGATAGCAGATAACTTCTCTTAAGTAGAGTATTGGTAGGATATTCCATTTCCTCTCAGTCTTCTGTCTTTCATGTAAAAAAAAGTTGTGCTCTTTCTATTAAAATATTTTGTTAGGTTCACATAACTACTTAAAGTTTAGTGCATTTTCTTTCCTTTTAAAATATTTTTGTTTATAGTTTATCCTGATAAAGATATAGAGCAGATTTTAACACTATTTTTATCATTAGGAAAACTGAAATGTAAGAAACTAGTTGATTTGGCTCACATCTCTTGAGGTATCAGTTGTGGAACCTAAACTAGACTCATTTAATGATTCTGTCACCTGATGTGGCCAGAGAAGTCCTGTGGTTCATCTGTATGGAATGATTATAATTTTCTTCTCTCAGATATCAGTCTTTAGTAGATCTATCTTGGCTTTCTTTGCAGAATGCAGTTACTTTAGACTAAATGGCTGTATATGATACAGAGGAATGCATGTAAGTCATGTAGGTGACTGTTAATAACAATTGGTAATGTCATAGTAGGACTCAAAAATTCATTCAGGTCCTGTGGCTTTAAAATTATGGAATATGTCTGAATCATATGACATTTCTCAGTTAGTTGTCCCCAAGATCACTCCCAATCTCAGTAATTTGCTAAGAAGACTCAACAGGACTAAGCATAACCATACCCATGGCTAGGATTTATTAGAGTGAAAGGATTTAAGGCAAAAATCAGCAAAAGAAGAAGATGCGCAGGGTAAAAGTTTTGAGGGAACTAGACATAAGCTTCCTAAAGCCACGGGTGTCACGGGGGATGTGCTTTAATTCTCCAAGCTATATGTTGTAACTGCATGCAACATGCGCTGCTACTGGGAAAACTCATGGAGGCTAAGTGCATAAGTTTTTACTGGAGGAAGATGACATGGTACATGTTCTGCTTGTTGCATACCAAATTCTAGATCCAGAAGGAAAGCAAGTGTTCAGCATCAGCCACATTGTTTATACAGACAGTTTTAGGTACAGTAAACCAGTCTTCAGAGAATGGTAGAGACTTTCCTTAAACCTAAGTTACCAGATGTCATCCAAGGGATAGCATTGGCTTCCATGTTGACTGTTTTTCTACCCAGTTTGACTTTACTTTTTATATGTTCCCTTCTAAGTATGTGTGGGGATAGTTATATGTAGCAAAGTGCTTTTTAGATTTAAGTCCAAAGGCCATAGCTAGACTTGTTTTTTGGAATCAATAATAATTTTTGTGGATATATGTCATTTGGTAAATAATCGTCGTAATAACAAATATTTGCTTTGATAGGCAGATATTTTAATGTATTCTCATTTATTTAATTCTTACATAACCCTATGATATAGGTGCTGTTCTCATTTTACAGCTAAGTAATCTTAATTAACTAGTAGAATTACTAAACTAACAAAATTGCTAAACCAAAAAATTACATTGTTAGCTATGTATAGTTCAGCATTTCAAAAATTTAAAGTGTTTATGTCTACTTATTTTCCTGCTCTATATTGAATATAAAGTATAAAGTTAGCATATGGACAAACAATAAAGAAGAAATATGTGTTAAGTTGGTCACTAAATTATTTTGTTTGTTAGTTTCCCTTTTTAAAAATTTTTTAACTTTGAGACAGGATCTCACTGAGTTTAGCCCAGGCTAGCCCCAAACTTGAGTGTCTCCTGCCTCACCTCCTCCCACCTCCTGAGTGCTAGGATTACAGGTATATGTTGACACTTCTGATTAAGTTTCTGAATCTTGGCCTTTTCTCTCTTATTAATATAAAATGGGGAGAGTATTAGTCTTGGGGGGTGGGATACAAATAATAGAAAGTTTACATTTAGAGAATGTGAATAATGCATATTTGATGGAGAATTCTTCTAACATTTTTTCCCTATAAGTTACAAAAAAAGTTGTTTCCTTATTTTTTTTCCCAGTCGTTAGATGACCTTTCAAATGTACCTTCTGATGACTCAGTACAACTTCATGCTTACATTTCAGACACTGGTAAGAGACTTTGTATTCTAATTATTACTTTTAAACTATTGATTATTATATCCCTAAGTTATTGTCCATGATTATTTTTATAGTTTTTAAATTTTGTATTCATATTTTTAAGCTAGTTTTGTTTTTTTTTGTGTAGCATGTTCTTCATTAAATTCTCTCTTTTTTTTTTTTTTTTGCTTGTATATTTGGATCTGCTCTAAGGTTGCTAAGATTAACATTTAAAAATGCTTATACTCTTAAGTGTTTTGTTGTTTCTACTAAACTCTGAAACCAGTCCTTTTCCTCTTTATATTTGAGTCTAGCTGACAGTTATGTGGATAATTTTAATTATTTCTTTTTTTGGGGAGATCTCAGTTCAGTATTTCCTGAGGCAGGCTAGATACCTGGAGTATATGAAGCCTCTGGGTATATGAGTTTGCAGAAGTTCAGAAGAAGCTTGAATGAGGTGGGAGACCTCTAGGACTTTGTGATCAGCCAGCATATATACAGTACTATTACTGTACCCTGAAAAAAAATCCATTCTCATAATTACCATTGATTTAATAGATAATGCTAATGAGTATTAGGCGATGATAGTTTTCTTATCTGGTCTCTATTCTTAGAAAAGGGAATGTGTGCATACTGAAGTGTGTATCTCAATTCAATTTCATGCTTACATTTTAGGTGCTATGAAAAGATGTTATAAGTATAGTTTAAAAGATACTAATTTGTACTTTTTTAAAAAAAGATAATTGTTATCTTTTGCTTCTCCCTGTAGCTACAGTCATATTTTAAATTTTTTCCCGGCCAGATTTCCAGAATAATTTTTTACATATAGTTGGTGCATAGATTACTTTGCTCTTTTCTTCCTAACTTTTGATATAGTTGTCCCGTTTTTCCTTCTATAAATTTTTTAAAGTTCTTTTAAAAAATCTATATTATTTGTTGGCTTGTCTTCTAATTCTGAAAGTCTTTCTTAAGGTGCAGATGTTTAATACCTGTCTTTTTATTTCCTGGAGATCTTAACTTGCGGGGGGATTGCAGTACTGGGGTTTTAACTTAGGGCCTCATGGCTTGCTAGGTACATGCTCTACCACTTGATCCATGTCCCAGCCCTATTTCCTGAAGCTCTTAAACTTTTATTTCTAGAGGAGAACTCTTCTATCCATATTTGTCCTTTTTGGAGGGTTCTGATTTTCTAGCTGTTGTGCATGTTTATTCATTTGTTCAACAAGTACTTGTTAAGCTTCTTACAGTGGATGGAAACATTGTCCTAGGCAATTTTCATAAATTGTTGGTTTTTTCAGAAAAGCATATGTAGATACTGAAGCAGAGCATGACTTTTTTGACTGACTTGCTTGGGTTCAAACCTTAACTTTGCTGCTTAATAGTTGGGTGAACTTCCTTAACTTCATTGTACTATAATTTCCTCATGTGTTAAATGGAAAAATAATAATAGTGCCTATCTCAGAGGGTAGTTATAGGCTAGTTAATTACAGTTATACATGGTAAGCATCATATGAGTACAATATTTATTTTTCTAGTAGACACTAAGTTTCTTTGATTCTTGTTCCCATTTTCTTACCATTTTTGTTATAGAAAGTAATGACTTATAGTCCAATAAATGCTACTTACAGAGTGATCCGTGGATTGGACTTGTGTCTACTGTTTCCTTAGATATGAAATCTTTTTAAAAATATTGGCTAAATTAAGTAATGTAATTAGTGATGGGTTTAAGCAAAGTTCTGGTATTAGTTACCTAATTATGGATTAATAATTAGTGGTTTGCAGATTACCTGCCATAAGTAGCACTGGCCTAATGGAAACAAAATCTTTTAGTTATATAACTGTCTTGTCAAAGTCGACATATGTAATATCATTATCTTCTTTTAAAATTGAATAACCTTTCTTCTGCATGTTTTAATAGTAACCTCATTGTTCTTCCTGCTATCCATTCACCTGGGTGAGCTCCCCTGCCTCACAGTTTCTGACAGATTCTGATTATTTATTAAATTCCTTTCTTATCTTACTTTGCTCTCTCCTTCTCTATTTCTTGTTGTTCTCCTTGCTCATGTTAACTTGTAATTGGTCTATCTAGTCATCCTCTAATTTCTCTTTTCCTTTCCACAACCTGTCTCGGTCACAACTTCCAGAGTCATTCCCTTGTTGCTATGCCTATTTAAAAATGGTGGTTCTCTAACTTGATGAAATATGAATAGGTCCCTAAGAGAAAGTTGATCGTTAAGAGGTGACAGGGAACAAGATGATCAGAGTCTATTTCCTGTATTTTTTTGTTTTGATCAAATCAGAAACACTGTACTTACGTGAAAAGGAAATAGAAAATTTTGAATAGAAAGTCTAAATGTTAGAAAAATTTTGGCAAAAGCTGGAGAGAGGTTTCTGTCATCTACCTTGTCTTGCCAGTAGAGATACCTAGTTTTTATGTTATTAAAATAATTGACTAAGAAGCTACATAGAAGCTCCTTTGCCTAATTATTTACAAAACAGCAAAGTATTTAGTTCTAAAATTTGTATGCTTTTTTTTTCAAAGTTGTAATCCATTATTAGATCAGTTTTAGTCAATATGGTAGCCTAAACTGCTATGAGAAGTCCTGCCTTCCACAGATAGAAAGGCTGAAAATAGTATAAACAATGGCCAAAGGAGGAAATCTACAGATCCCATGAACCATGAAGAAGAACAAATTCTGGGAAGTGAAGAGACTTGAAGCCAGGTGACTCAGAGTAGCATAGATTGCTATCTTGGTTGTGATAGCATTTTAATTTCCTCAAGCTGAGAAGAAGCAGAATAAGCCAAGGCCATGGCAAGCTGGATCCAAGTCCTTTATGTAAAACTCATAGTCAGAAAAGGCAGCTTGATGTGGAAGAATTAGAAAAACTTAGCCTACCTTCAAGTGGGAAGAGCAGGAAATGTTAAGATCATTGTTGGAAATAATAATATCTGCCACTCACAAAAAAGTGGAGCCCACTTTGTATCCCATCATGGGTGTATCTGTCCTCAAGTTATTGTGTACCACAGGGTCTCAAGCCAGAGAATTAGTATGCTTGTCCCTTGGTATTTGTGGGGTATTGGCTTCTAGACCCTTCACAGATAACAAAATCCACAGATGCTTAACTCCTTTGTATAAAAAGGTAACAGTATTTGTGTGTAACCTATGCATATCCTGTAGTATACTTTAAATTATCTCTAAATTACTGTAATTCCTAAAATAATGTAAATGCTATGTAAATAGCTGTTTTACTGTATTAGAGAATAATGACAAGGTGAAAAACCTGTACATATTCAGCAAAAACACATAATAAAAAATATTTTCAGTGCATGGTTGGTTGAATCTGAGGATGTGGAATCTAAGCACAGAGGGACAACTATATGAAAATAGCTTCTAGACAATTGAGACCAGTTATAGTGGTGAACACTGGTCAGTGTAAACGCCTCCAAAGCCCAGATCACTCCTAATGCCCAGAGAAAAGCTGCAAATGAGTTTGTAGAAAGCAATTAAAGCCACAGGAAGAAACATGAGCCCCAATAAGGGAGAGTTAGCAGACCGAGCAATGAGATAAGTTGTTCCCTAAGAACCTAGAGATGGCAGTCTTAATAGAACTTAAAATAAGTATGTTAGCAGTACTCATAAAGAGGGCCAGGTTTGGTGGTACACATCTGTAATCCCAGCTGCTCAGGAGGCAGAGATCAAGAGGATAGCAATTCAAGAACAGCCTAAGCAAAAAGTTAGTGAGACCTCCCCCCCACCCCAAATAAACAAGCTGGGCATAGTGGTTCACAGCTATAATTCCAGCTGTGTGGGAGGCATGGGCAGGAAGGTCATAGTCCAAGGCAGGCCCCAGGCAAAAACATAGGATCCTGTCTGAAAAAGAAGGGTTAGGGTATAGCCCTGAGTTCAAACTCCAGTATTACCAAAAAAAAAAAAAAGAAAGAAAAAGCAGACCAACTACAAATGAGGGAAAAACAGTTAAGTTTTGGAGCACTCACTAGCGAGAAAGAGCACAGAGAATGGCAAATCAAAAAGTCAACTTTAAGAACATGATTTACAGTTTCATCTCTTTGCCTAAGACTAGTAGAAAATGGGAACAGGTTTTGATTTACAGGCTCTCTGACTTGTATTTGGCAAATCAGTAGGAAAATGATTTTTTTGTTTTTTTTTTTTTAATCCCCAGAATAAACTAAACTTGTCAATTGTTGAATATTATCAAAGGGAAAAAGAATTTCCAGGAGATTAATCTTATCCTGTGGCTTTTCCTGTTTAGTTGAACAGATTCTAATTGAAATATGAGTAAATTGAGAAGGCTAGTAAACAGTTATTATTTTGTTTCTGTTGTTTCTTCTCTATTTAAGGGACCCTACTGCTGTACTCTGAGGTGTGCTGTGTATGGTAACATCTTTAATAATAGATAAAAGCTCTTGGGAAGAAAATCCAAACTAGATGTCAGTTTGTGGTTGGCACTATCACCATAAGCTTTTAGCTTGTTTTATGTCATAGTCATCATTTGACTGTGAGTACAGAGGGTAGGAATCTGTTTTATCCTTTGAGGACATCCTGTTGTCTTAGTCTGTCATTTCTTCTTCATTTCACCTTGTCTTTTTTTGGTTTTGTTCTTCATCTTCCTCCTTTCTTTGTCTTTCATTCCTCTTCATTTTGTTGTAAATGACTAGTATATACTAACTATGACCTGTATATTGTGGCAGGTGTTTGTAATGATCATGGCAAGACATATGCATTATATGCCATCACTGTCCACCGGCGCAATCTGAATACCGAGGAGATGTGGAAAACCTATCGCCGCTACAGTGACTTCCATGACTTCCACATGAGAATCACTGAACAGGTAATGAGGCTTGAAAAGTTCCTGTACTCTACATTGTTTCTGGATTCATTTCTGATACTGTGTTTTCTAAGTATGTTCAGATATTGAATAAAGCTAATGAGAGAAAATGAGACTATTTTATTTAATCAGCATAAATATTGGGATGATTTTGAGTGGTCAGCTAATACATCAGTTATTAATAACTGCTCAGTCTTAGCCATTGTCGTAGTAGAATGCCTTGGAAAATTAAAATGAATGTGTGTGTACTGCTTTTTGCCAGAGGTGTTGGTTTGCAGTAGGGATGGCCATGGGTGAAAGGCATTTTAAGGCTTGTTTGTGGGGGCATAATTCAGAGCTATGGTATTTTAGGTGCTGTCTGTGCCCAACAGTGTGCTGGATTGTAGACCCTTTGCTTACGTTACTATGAACCACAACCTAAAACAAATAGCATTAACCAGATAATCTATTTAATTCTCACTAAATACAGTCCTTTCGTTTTATAGAAGTAACTAAAAGGACTTGTGAAGTTAGTAAATGTAAAGAAACTTTTTTTTTTTTTTTTTGAGTGGTACTGGTATTTGAACTCAGGGCCTCAGGCTTGCTAAGCAGGCACTCTTACCACTTGGGCCACTCCACCAGCCCAAGAAACTGTTTTCTTAATTTTAACTTTTATCTTCCTCTTAACTTAGAAAAATATAAAATATTGCCAGATTACGTGAAATAACTGATCTAGGAAACATGTTATCTCTTGCAAGAATTTGATACACTCAATATTTTAGATACATAAGTAGTATTAAGTCAATAAAAATAATTAAAGTTGATACCTGCTTGGATGAGCTGAAGTTTTGAAATAATACTAACTGCCTGAGAATCAGAAAATGCCTTTTTTAGTTAAAATAGTGGGAAAAAATATGGTCGGTGCCATGATAATCTTATTAAGATATTTTGTGGATAGAATGAAATAAACTATAAACAGATTTAAATGATTTAAAAGGTTAGAATTAACTTCTGAATACCATATTAATAGTACTATTTTGAGTTATATTTATACGGACATTTATAACTTTGGACATGCCTGTTTATCTCTGGCTTTGTTTGAAGTGATGGAAGAATTTTCTGACCTACATTAAAGAGATAATTGCTTTTAACCTATTTGTGAATTACTTAAAAGCATATAGCTTAAACATCTTTCTTCCTACCCCCTACCAAGTATGTCAGTTAAAAATATCTTGAGTTGATAAGATTAGCTTTATAGTGCAAAGTAATGGAAATTTGGTTTAATATGAGATTTTTCTATGTCAAATAGTTGTAATTTTCTTTCTACTAAGAGGAATATCATTGCCAAATTTTAAATGTTCTAGGCTAGGACTGAAAACATTATGCTCCAAATATTGATAAATATAAGTAAAGAACATACTTTAACAGAAATTTTGTTGATATGACAGTCAGTACAGAAGTTTTCCTTTTCTTTACAGCTCCAAACTTCTTATAATTCAATTTTCCAAATAGCTCAGTACAGGTGAAGTGAACATATTTTGACTTAGTATTTCTGATAAAGTCATAGCAGAGTGCTTGATTGCTTAAGTGTTTAGATTGCTCACAGAGCTTAAGAAATTAAAAACTAAACTTGTAGATGAAAGTTAGGTTTTAGCATAATATTAAGCATCTGTAAATAAGGCAGGCGTGTTTGTCTTTTAGTTCTTCCTAATTATTTTTAAGACACAGATCCTCTATAAAACTGTGGAAGAAAGATGCAGTGACTTATAATTTGCCAGTTGGTAACATTGCAACCAGGTGACAGGAAAAAATGTGAAGTTCATAGTGCTCTTAAGCTAAAATCCTTTTAAAGGTTTCAGTTGCTTAACTTTCTAAGACATACTTTTTTCCCAGTCTAACTATGTGAAATATCACTTGTTTTCTTTAAAAAATTTAATAGTCTAAATTTATGTTCTGAGGAAATTTATAAAATTAAAAACAATTAAAAAGTTAAATGTCACATACTTTTACAAACAGCCTGAACTGCCCATTCATTTATTCAATAAATATTTACTGAGATTTCTTGTTTGCTCAATATTCTTCTCAGTGCTGGAAAAATAACACTGAACAAGACAGGACAAGTCCTTGCTCTAAGAACATACATTCTAGTACATATTATGTGTTTTGCTTATTGAGTGAAATCTATGATAAGTATAGGTAAAATTGTAGTGATTTAAATTATAAGATATTTTGTAATAGTAAAGCTATTGGTATACTTGAACATGAACAAATTTTGAATTTTTTAATACAGAATTATAAACCTGATCTTTAAATTGTCAGTAGTGTATTAATCTAATCCTGATGTGTTTTATATAGCACTATAGTCTGAGTTTAGAATGTCTAATTTATATTTAGCATTTGAATTCTTTGTAAACATTGACATACTGCTTTAATTTGTGTGAATTCTTACTTTTTAAGTAAATTTCTAATTTGTTTCACATCCTTTTAAGAAATATTTCCATAATATTTTGATGAATTTACAGGGTAGAAAATTTCCCATTTTTTTTCCTTTTGTCATAACAATATTTGAGGAAATTGATATATTTCTCATCAAGATAGATAACTTTAAAAGGAGGTTTTTTTTTTTAATCCTAAGCTTTCTGTGTTGCATTGTTTAGGATTCTTTTAGTATATATATATATTTTTTTTTTTTTTAAAGTTTCTGAAATAAATTCTATAGTGGTGACTAACACAACAGAAACTTATTTTCTTACATTTCTGGAAGCTAGATGTTCAAGATGTAGGTGTTAACAGGTTTGGTTTATCCTGAGGCGTCTCTCATTGGCTTATAGATGGCTGTCTTCTCACTGTATCCTGACATGGCTTTTTCTCTGTGTGTATGCCTCTGTGATGCATTGCTGTAAATCCAAGTTTCCCCTTATTAGGACATCCCCAAAAAACTGGTTTAATTTAATCATCTCTTTAAAAGCCCTGTCTCCTAATGTAGTCATAATTTTAGGTACTAGAGGTAAAGGCTTTCACATAGGAATTTTGGGGAAATACAGTTCAGGCCTAGGGTGCTTGGTACAGCCAGAATAAATGGTGCATTCTGTAAAATTGAGGCAATAATTTGCAAATTATTGTAGATAAGTAATATTTCAAGAAATTAAACATTTTAAGATTGCTTGAAAAGGGAATTTATTTCCATACAGTATGATGTTTTAAAAAGCATTTATTTGATAAACTAGATACTCTCCATTGAACATTTTATATTCATTGAAGACCCATTTCTAATGGTTTTGTCAGTTGACATATTTGTGAATATCACTACTGTAAACAGTATTTTCTCTGTACCCATGTTCTTTCGATTTCCTTGTATGTATGACTAGAGCAAAAGAACTGCTTTTTATGTTACATAAATAACAGAATGAACTTGTTTGTATTTTAATTGTAAGCCCCATCTGACTTTTCATTACATTTAATAATTTATCAGAATCTTCATTTTGGGGGTAGAAATTATGCTGAAACTCATTTTCTCTGTTTTTAAAAATATCATTGGATCATTTATTTTTTTAAAAAATATTTTTATTAGCATACATTAGTTGTACAGAGGGGTTTCATCGTCACATTTCCACATGTTTAGAGTGTACCTTGGTTAGTTCATCCCTTTCATCATTCTCCCTCAACCCTTTCTCCCCTACTTAAAATAATCTCAATAAATTTCATTATTCTATTTTCATATAAAGTACATGGACCATATTCCCCCTCCTTCACCCACTCCATTTATTATTCCCCATGCCACTAGTATCCATCCCCTCAATAGTACCTGTTTTCATTCCAGTCTTTAATTTTCCAAGTGCATATTCCTGTTCAGTGGGGTTTTGCCATGGTATTCACCCATGAATATTTTGTACTTTAATCAAATTAACTCCATTACTGTCCCTTACCCTTCCCATGCACTCCCCTATTAACCACTTTTAGTGTGTTTTGTTTGCCATCTTCCTACACAGATGAAATGTATTTTGATATTACTCATTTTTCTTTTCCTCTCTAATCCCATTACTACTACAGACATGTTCATATATATATATGATTGTGTTTTTATTTGTGTATATGTTTGTCTTTTGGATCTGTCTTCCACATAAGAGAGAAAACATGTGGCCCTTGTCTTTCTGAACCTGGCTTGCTTCACTTAACATGATGATCTCCGGTTTCATCCATTTACCTGCACGTGATATAATCTCTGTTTTATATCTCAGCACCAGCATTGTTTTTCTTTATAGAGACAGTGTTGTTGCTAGTTGAAATAAATAATAGTCTTAGAAAGTTCATTTTACTTCAGAGGTTGCACCACATAGCAAGAGATTGCTTGAAGTTTTAGGTACTGGCTATTAGCCAGGTACAGTCATAGCTAAATGATTTTTGCTCGTTTGCTTTTTAGCACCTAGCATGGTTAAAAAACCTTGTTTCAGCAAGGATAGCAGATATTATAGATGTTTAAAAATCCACCCAAATGTTAAGTAAATGCTAAATTTATAGTAAATACACTTTGTATTTGTAATTTTATAAAGAAAAAGTACATGGTGATGACTCTTATTTTCTTAATGTAGTCTGTGAGTTTATTTTTCATGTGGTGATAAGGAATAGGCTACCAGTATTTATTACAGTTGTATGTAATACAGCTGTTTTAAAACCGATTGTTAATTTGCTTTTCTGCTTTTTATAGATGCATATTGCATTGGTTATTTTGTAGTCATTAATACTAAAAATATTCCTTACTAGGTTTTTTTAAACAAGCCAGAAACTCATAATATTGATCATTAAAAATTTTATTTGTTAATACTTTATTCAGAAGTCAAGGAATTGTTAAATGTTTCTTGAACCTTTCATTATGAAAATTTTGAATAGTCTCAAAATTGATACTAAAATGAAACCCATATGATCAATGCTCATCTTTATCAATTTGTTATTTTTGATTAAGAATTCTTTGCAATAGATAATATTGGAGCTGTATTTTGGATACAACTTGGACAATATTTTTATATTTTCTGGATTTGCTTAATGTAACAAAATATATTCCAAAATTATCTGTTTAAAATATGTTTGCTGTGTAAAGGAATTGGCACATGGAAAATTCTTTCTTCTTTTTATGAAAAACTATTGAATATATTGTGTCTTATAGTTCGAAAATCTGTCAAGCATATTGAAGCTTCCTGGTAAAAAGACTTTTAATAATATGGATAGAGATTTTTTAGAAAAGAGGAAAAAGGATCTAAATGCGTATTTACAGGTAAGTCCGTGTTTTCTACTTCACATAGATTTTCATATAAGGCTTTAACATTACAGAGTAATTCAAGAGAGAGGTAGATCCGAAGGACTATTTCTTCCATGTAGCATCTTGGATATACAATTTTCTCTTGGGGAACAGCAAAACATGTCTGATGAACATATGTAATGCATAAACTGTCAGGATTGACATAAATAACTTTTAGACCTGAGTATTCAGATATCAGGTATTGTAATAATAATAAACTGAAAAAACCTATCCCTTTACAGTTTTTTATACTAGTTAGTATTTTATATAGCACATATATTGGACATGGCACCAGTTTGGGTTTATAATGTTCCATTATTTAACTCCCTATACTCTAGAACACGTTTCAACAAACTGTGATCTAGAGATCCAACTAGCCTATCATCAGTTTTTGGCTAGAAGTTTTATTGGTTCATAGTGACCCCTTTAGTTTATTTATTTGTATTGTCTATGGCCACTTTCACAAACACCAGAGTTGAATAGTTGCAGTGGAGACTCAATAATGTACTGAATATTTTGTTTCAAGGTTTTCTTTTTCTCTTTTTTGAATATTCATAGCTGTTGACTGGGTTTGTTTACAACCATAATTATTATTCCATGTTGTTACTATATACTGAAAGAACAACAAAAACATAAATCTCTGCTATTATTCACCATTATTCTTTCTTGGCTTAGAGCTGAATGTCTGATGCTTATTGACCTTTATCAAACATTTTGACTTTGTAAAAAGTACCAACTTCAGTTCCATTAAAGTCTGTATCAGTTAAAATTTGCAAAATGACTACCCCTTTCCAAATCTGGTATGTTTGAATGTGGCTGTACCATATACTTTTTTTAGTTAATGAATTCAACTTGTACTGAAAAAAACTAAGCTACAATGTTAAGTTCATTAGCAGTTGTGAAAGCAGTATGTTGTTTGGGACTTCTTTATATAACACTTGAAAATTTTTCTTTGTATTCTTTTTTATACTTTCTATTTCTACTCAATATTAACTTTAGCATTGTATATGAATAGTACAGTTTTCTAATGTGGATGGTTTTAATATAAGCTGTAAGGCCAGAAAATAGAATAACAAATATATTTGGACAACTTTCACATTAGATGGCCTGAAAGTCAAAATAGCACATGGAAAGAATGTACACCAAACTTAGTAGAATTAACAATAGAATTATTGGTGACTTTATTTTAACTATGTAATGGGTTTTTTTTAGCATAAAATTAAAATTTTTTACATTCTTAACTTTTTATGAGATGAAATTATAAACAGTAGTTAATTACCATTCTCTTATCAATTTAAGATGCCTTTTCCCCTGTTAGTTACTGTTAACTCCTGAAATGATGAAAGCGTCCCCTGCTTTGGCTCACTGTGTGTATGATTTCCTTGAAAACAAAGCCTACAGTAAAGGGAAAGGGGACTTTGCTCGAAAGGTAAGCACCCATTGCACTGGGTTTCTTTTTAGCTCTGTTTTTATACTTTCTTTTTAATAAAAGAAAAATATAGATTTGTATATTTTAAAATTAGAAGATATTTTTAAGTGTTCTTTGGCATGTTTATCTTCTATGCTTTAGTAAGTGTACTACTGATTAGAGTATCTGCTACATATAAACTTATCTTTACATGTAGATTGAAGTCTAGTAGAAACTTGAAAGAAAAACTAACTTTCAAAATAGTGCTTTATGAAAAGTTTTCCATTATCTTCAGAAGGAAATTCTCAAGAAGTGAGAAGTACCTTTTACTTGCAGTAAGGCTTATAAAAATGCTAAATAGAATGTGTTCTGTAAGTATTTATACTCTTAAGTCAAAGTTTAGTCATTTTAAATATTGTAAATAAAATACGATTTAGGTTCTGTGCTTGGAGTAAGATGCTAGATTAAAATAAGAAGTGATTGCTCAAAGTGGACAAGATAGATTAGTAGGTAAGAGCATAACTTCGAAACCAGACAGCCTTTGGTTCAAATTCCTGCTCTGCTGTTTATTAGCTATGACCTTGAGCATTAGTTACCTCAAGAAATGAAGATGTTACTCTTCGTTTGAGAGCATTGTGTGAATCAGTAAGATACTGTTCTGTGTCTAGAAGTACGTGGCACATAATTAACCTCTAAATAATGTGGGCTCTTAATATAGCAGCAGCAAGAGGAGCACCAGTAGTAGAAGCAGCTAGGAAGGTGGGTGAAGGGAATGCAGAAGATTTTAAGTCTGAGACTACTTTTAAATAAAAATTCAAAAAGGAAAAGGACTTCTGTATCACTCTTTCTCCTTCCTTCAAAAGTAGCCTTTTTAAAAATGATTGAGGAATTGATACAAAATAAGGAAGTTGATAATTATAAGTAGAAGTTCATATGATTACTCTAGGATGTTAGATGCTTACATCTCTAAGTTGAATGCTTTGTTTTAATAATAAATTTCAGGGTTTAGAACATAGACAGACAAACAGAAACACACACACACACACCAAATGAATGATTGAAGTATTCACTCAAGATATCTGATTGTTACTTTCAGTTGTGGAAGTATGTAATAACTCATTCTACTTGAATCATTTTCTGCTTTAGAAAACTTTTTCATTGAGAATTTCTTTAATAGGAATACAGTGAGGCTGAATATGTTGATGTACACATGTAATCCCAGCACTTGGGAGGCTGAGTATCGTGAGTTTGAGGCAGCATAGTTTAGATAGCTAGTTCAGAGTCAGTCTGGGCTGCATAATGAGACTCAGTCAAAAAAAGAAAAACCATGTAAAAAAAGAAGTGTATTAATCATCCAGCAGTAATCTCATCAGTCAAATTTTGAATCATATTTGTGAGTATGAGAACTCATTTTAAAACATATCCAAGTTCTGTTATACTTTTAAAATTTAGTAACATAAAATAGGCTAGAGAATTATTGTATCTTTCTATGTGTTGCATTCCATATTTTCCCAGGTTTTTGCATTGAATAACAACTCTGATACAATGAAGTCATCCTGCAATATCTTTTTTCTCTTTAGATGGACACTTTTGTAAATCCACTGCGCAATTCTATGAGAAATGTTTCAAATGCAGTTAAATCCCTTCCTGATAGCTTGGCAGAAGGAATGACTAAAATGTCAGACAACATGGGCAAAATGTCAGAAAGATTAGGTCAAGACATAAAGCAATCATTTTTCAAGGTAAGAAGACATTTTTAGTAATGTCTAAAGCAAACTTTTTAAATCAACTAAGATATATTGAGCAACTTTCCAAAGTTAAAGAGAGTAAATTCTTATCAGAAACAGATACTAAAAAAATCCAGTCCCTCATCAGTCTCTCCTGTGGTAGAGTTTTAAAATCCATTTAAAATAAATATTGAAAGTGAATAAAGTTAACACTTTCATTGTTTTGTAATATTTTTTATTCTGTAATGCTATAAATCTCTAAGCCAACAACAAATAAGTGCCATTTGCAAATGAGTTTACTAGTGTTCACTCAGGAAACATAATGTCTTCATTTCTCTTGATTGACACAGTGAGGGTATCACCAGATCAAAAAGGGAGGAGAAATCCTTTATCATGGTCAGGCTCTGCATCCATCCATTACTGTGTTTATATCTAAATCCCAAGAAGCTTTTTCTTAACATTAGGAGATAAAGGTGCTGGACCAAGTAGTTTGTTGCATTTCTAATTTACATCTTAAGAAAATAATTTTGGCACAGTTCTTTTTTAAGATAAAGGTTTTTTTAAAACCAGTTATGCTACTATAATTTTTTCCTATTTCTTAGGTCATATTTGAACAAATTTGAAGACATATTTGAAAATATGTAAACACAGGTTTTCCTTAATGTAAAAGATAGTTCCTAAAATAGTCTGTATATATCATACTTCTCTATTAATTCTTATGTTTTCTTTGATGCTTCATCTTTATTTTTAATTGTGGAAAAGTACAGTAATGCTGAAATGAGTGGCAGTACCACTTCTGTCAGGTTGACCTTGTTCAAAAAAAAATCATAATTTTCCAGACTTTTGTCTAATAATTTTAGGGGTTAATGTAGGTGATCTTGATGGTCTTTTCTATGCTGACAGTGGTCTTTCTGTTTTTCTTTACCTTTAACTTATCTAACAGTTGATCAATTCTGTATCAAGATCTCTTTATGGTAAGAAAGAAGATTGGAATTCTGTTCCTAGGCTATGCCAACTATTTGGTCTTCTAGTCATTTAAGTTTTCTTGGTTTTAAATTCTTCTACACAGTATGGGAGTTTGACTAAGTAATCTCTCTTTTATTGTTATTAGCTTTCCCATCACTGTAACAATATGCCTGAAAAAAGAACTTAAAGAAGGAAAGATTTATTTTGACTCATGGTTTCAGAGGTTTTTAGTTCATAGTGTATGGTGGAGAGAGAGAAAGAGAAAGAAAAAAAAAATATGCCTTTACTAGCTGGCATATAGCCTTCTCATGTTCCCCTGTTTTATTCCATCTGGGCCCCAGCCTATGGGATGAGGATGGTCTTCCCCGCTTAGTTAATCCTTTCCAGAAACACAAACGCATCCCTCACAGGCACTCCAGAAGGGATACTTTTCTAATCTTCTAGGCACTTCTCTATCCAATCAAGTTGACAAGTTACCATCACACCTTCCAACTCAAAAGCGAGTTCTTTTTTAAAGGAAAAAAAGAACTTTGGAAAATGAAATAAACTTTTTTTAAGGTTTTCTCAAATTCTAAATTGTTAAACTTTCCTTATGTTTTGCACCAAAAATTAAATGCTGGTTCTTGTTTTAGCTTATTATTATGTTGTGTTCTTTCACACTCTACTTTGTGTGTTTGCCTTTTTTAAATTTTAGGTGCCTCCCTTAATTACAAAGACTGATTCAGATCCTGAACATTGTCGAGTCTCAGCTCAACTTGACGATAATGTGAGTTAATTTTAAACTTGATGAATATAATAGTTGTTATTTCTAATCACACATGGCAGACCTTCTTAACTTTCTAATGCAGCATGTAAATGTATCATTCATATGTATACATTGTGTTAAGCTTAATGAATTCTTATAAGATAAATATATTCATAATCAGCACACAGAAAACAGAAAATTACTGATATTCCAGAAAGCCCCTCTTTTCCCTTCCTGTCATGTTCCTGTCCCCAACCAAGGACAATCACAATCTTAATTTTTACTTGCTTTTTTACTTTATATAAATAAAATTTAAAGGACCTACTCTGGCTTTCTTTGCTCAACATTATGATACTCTTCTGTGCTGCTTTTGTGTGATTATAGTTTCTCTATTCTTAAAGCTTTGTAGTATTTCATTTTGTAAATTTGGAAATATTTACCTATATTTTTCATAGAACTCCTTGAAAATTCTAGTATACATCTTATTCTAGTATACATCTTATGATTTAAAAAATGAGTATACATTGCTGTTGAGTCTGTGCTTACGAATGAAATTCCGTAGTCAAAGTATGCATAAATTCAGTTCTAGGAGATACTGCCAAAGTTTTTCAAATTGCTTGTACCACTTAGAGTGCTACCAGTGGTACTTGACAGTTTCACTACCCCACACTACCAATACCCAATATTTTGTGTCTTTTTAATTTTAGCCATTCTGATTGTTGTATTTGATGTTGGCGCACATTTCTCTAATGCCTACTGAAATGCTGAACCTTTTTCTTATGTGTATTGACCAGTTAGCATCCTGTCTTAATGTGTCTATTTAGAACTTCTGCCTGTTTTCTGTTGGGTTAGTGGTCTTTGTCTTTTTGATTAGTGGGAGTACTTCATATAATCTGGGTATGAGGTCGTTGTTAAGGCTGTTTGTGTCTGAATGTCTGTGTAATACCTTTTATTTCCTGTGCTGCTTTTGGTGTATTCTATATGTAATCTGCTTTTACCACAAGGTCGCAAAGATGTTGTCCTATCTATGCTAACATTTAGATTTCCACTTTATCTGGGATTGATTTTGTATTTGCAATGAGATGTGGGTCTAGTTTTACTGTGTTTCTGTCTTATCACAGATTAGGTTATCATATATGTTTGAGTCTGTTTCTGGACTCTGTTCTGTTAAGGAGAAGCTATCTTAAAAATAATAACTTTTGCTTTTTTTAGAATACTCTTATGAGTTTTGATTGTGCGGTAGCAGCATATCTTTTGATATGTGGTGTTTACAGTTTAAGTTTTTATTGTAACTGTCCTGTGGTACCAAACTTACGTAAACATACTTTATCAGAGAATCAAGCAATATTTTTTTCTGCCTCAGTAATGAAATAAGTTTACCTCTCCCCCGTAGTTTTTTTTGTATAAGCTCCCAATTTGTAGAGTGGAATGTGCATTAAGAAAATGTTTACAACTTGATAATGAAAATGTACAGCTCATGTTTTTTTCTCAATACCTAAGTTACAACATTGACAAGGAAATAATTGGACAGTATCTTAGTGGAAAACCGTTATAAAATTATTGGAAACAATATGTAGTCCTCAGTCTGTAACTGTTCCCTGCTTCATATATATTTTTTACACCAGAGCATTCCAGTTATCTTCCATTACTTTTTACGTTATTAGTTGAATACTCCAATAATAAAAGTATGGTAATTTTAAGTAGTTATTAAACACAGATATTAAGAATATTATGAAAAATGCATTGGAACATAAGCAGAGAATCTAACATTTATTTCATTAAACTAATACAGCCTCTGCTAAAAGTTGGGAGAGCAAAATTATCTTTTCCTAATATAGTCTTGAATCCACTTTGAACAGTTTTTTTGTTGGTTTGAACTCCAAAATTTAAAAAACAAAACAACTATAACCTTAGTATTTATTCATCATTATAGGATTATAAAACTTCTGTATTTTGTAAAAGTGACTATTAGAGATATTTATTCTAAATTAGAATGAAATGTCAGATCTTGAAGACTATAATTTGTTTTGGTTTATTAAAACAATGGCAACCATTTTGTAAAAGTAGCCATTCATAGCAGATAACTAACTCCAACAAATTTATTCTGATTTCTTCTCATATTTTGTCAGGTGGATGACAATATTCCACTTAGGGTAATGCTGCTTCTAATGGATGAAGTATTTGACTTGAAAGAGAGAAATCAGTGGTTGCGAAGGAATATCAAAAATCTACTTCAACAGTTGATAAGAGCTACCTATGGTGATACTATTAACAGGTACCACATTTTTCTTCCGTCTACCTCCCTCCCCCCCAGTCTGATCTTACTACCTTTTACTTCAGGAGGTAGATTGTTCAACCTTCATGGGAGAATTTCTCCTTTGGACCTTTTAGGAAGATAATGAAAGCAGTCTCCTGCTCTTAGAGATGATTATACCCAAACTAAACTGTTTACTCCACGAAAGTGGTGTTTATTCAATTTACAAATTAAGCTTACTCATTTAATTTTCTTTACTTTCAGAAAAATAGTTGACCATGTTGATTGGATGACTTCACCTGAACAAGTAGCCGACTCAGTGAAACGTTTCAGGTATATCTTAAGACACAGTCACTTCTTTCAGGTAGTACAGAGTTTAGCATTGTTACAACTAATTAACTTTCACTGCTTTTCTTTCCTGCCCATAAAGTTGGTTTTAGTCATCATTGTAGAGCAAAGATTTTAAAAATTTTTAATAAACACCTTCCCATTGACCTATTCATCTTTGTTTTCTAAAGCCAGAATAGGAAAAGTATAAAAGAAAAATGCTAAAATGATAGGCTACATTTTACCACAGAATTAGGGCTTTAAGTTAATTGAAATATTAGATAGAAATGGCACAGCCGTATCATCAAATACCTAATTTGGGGGATTAGTGTTTCTCAGTTGTACTTACTAGCCTTGATTTTAAGTGAAATTGTTTAAAAAAAAAAATCTGGCCATGGTATGGCTATTTGCACCTTTGATGATAATGTAGATTAAGCATCATATGTTCATGAATAAGCCCCTCTTGTGTGCCTAGCACTCTGCTAGTCATCGAGGAATGAGAGGTAAAAGGCAGTTCCTCAGAGTGTACATAGATGGTCAAGAAGTAAATGTAAAAGTGAAGACAAGCGATGCATAAAATTTCATGGGATCACGTACATTGAAGGTAAGGAAAGGGAGCCAGAAAGGAACTGTCAGTATTGAACACCAGCTGTGTGCTTGGCACTGAGCCCAGCACTTTATGCTTTCTGATTTACCCTATTCTACAAGGTAGGTGTAGGTGTGTTTGTGTGTCTATTTTGTTATTAAAGAAGAAGAACTTTCCCAAAGGCTGTCATGATGGAAAGGGAGCAATCTGATTTTTCTTCTCTGAAGGGAAGTTTCTCCCTCCTAGATCCATATATTTCTAAGAGTTGGACTACCTGCCCTAGGATGTTATGTTGGGGTAGGGGAATGGTGTTTTCCAGTGCTAGGATTTGAACTCGGGGCCTTCTGCTTGCTACTCAAGTTCTATACTACTTGAGTCAAACCTCCAGCCCTTTGCTTTACTTAGTTTTCAGGTAGGGCTTTGTGCCTTTTACCATTGCTGGCATCTGACTAGGATCCTTCTGTGTACACATTTTGTGTAGCAGGGGTTACAGATATGAACCACCATGCCCTGCTTTTTCTTTGAGATAGGGTCTCACATACTTTTCCAGGATGGTTCTTTAGTTGCAGTACTCCTATCTTCACCTCCTAAGTAGCTGGGATTACAGATGTGAGCCACCATGCCAAGCCATGAATGATGTTCTGTAACAGTGATTCCCAGCCTTGGCTGCACATTGGAATCACCTAGAGAGCTTTAACAGTGCCTGAATCCCTTCTTTAGAGAAAGCTCTCTTTGTTAACCAGGTGGAAGGCCTGGACAATTAAGATTGTTTAAAGCTCCCAGGTGTTTCTAATACAAGATTAAGAACTCTAGGGAGTCTCTCTCCTTCAGACCAAGTATGTCCAGATGGAGGCACAGATACTACGCTTAATTCCTGCCTTTGGACCATACATTCGGGAGTAGAAATCAAGCACACTATAAACATGAAGGAGAATGGATTGTTGCATGTATAAAAGACCACTGTACTCAATTCATTTATAAGTTGTGAGCATAGAATTTAGTGTCATGTTTGCTCTAGTTACAAAGATAGTAGAGTGACATGACTGAGGGAGGGTAGGTGTTAAAAGTTTAAGGTATCCAAATTCAAGATGTCATGAGTCATATTTGGATGAGAATTTCACTCAAGTAAGTGTCCTCTTTTGAGTTTATACAGCTTTGATCGGTTTGTCTGTCTATTCCATTTCATTGACTTTGTTAGTATTTATGCACTATTGAAGGGTAGAATTTATCTGTTATTTTTCTTGTGTGTATCTTTTCATACCTCCAATTAAATCCTGCACTTAGGTGATGTTTGTTGAATATCATTATACCTAGTTAAGATTTTAGAAATGTTTTGTTTTTCTGTTTGCATTTGTGTTTTCTATAGAAATTTGGAATAACTTTATCAATTTGTATCATTAGAAAATGAAAACGTTTAAAAATTTTATTCAATCTTCTTAGAGATGCATTTTGGCCAAATGGCATTTTAGCAGAGACTGTTCCATGCAGAGATAAAGCTATTCGAATGAGAACAAGAATTGCAGGAAAAACTAAATTACTTGCAATTATGCCAGGTGAGTGAACATGTTTGATTAAAGCTCATTAATTTTGTACTTCTGAATTTTTGGTATTGGTCCTGCTGGTCTTGCTAAATTTTTTTTGTTATGGTGACTCTCATTTGATGGCTAACTGTATACCAGGGACTATGCTAGGCATTTCTCATATATTCTTACCTAGTTCTTTTAAAAGTTGTGTGAAGTGAGTCACTATTAACACCACAGCTTTTTGTGTGAGAAAATAGAAGCTCAGAGTAATCTTCTCAAGATGTAGTTGGTAAGTAACAGGATTCCGACTCATCTTTGAGTGATTCAAAAGCTTGTACTTTTGACTTCTTCACTTTGCTGCCTTCAGACGTTTTGGGAATTAAGTTATTAAATAAAGAAAATATGTGACAGGTTAATGGGCTAATGAAAATATGAAGTATGAATCTTTCAAGAAGAATGTTCTACTTAGGAGAACAAAGTCCATTTACATAGAAACAACTGATTTTGGTCTATTATTAATCTTTATTGTTTAGAACATAATCCCACAGAGAGCATACATAGCAGCATTTTTTTGACCTGTTATGAGTTACTTGTTTAGGATACAAGTACCTCATTAACTTAGATTTACGTTGTCCCTTTTGTCTTCTCTTAGTGAGAAAGGCTATGTAATATGAACATTGGGTTTTTGTGTTCAAGAAGCCATTCTATTTGGTTGTTGACCCATTTTCTTTTTTTCTTTATTGTGCTGGGAGTATGTTTTGGCATTTACAAAAGTTCTTAAAATATATCATACGTGACTTCGCCCCCTTCCCCCATTCCTGGAATATTTTCATGAGGTCTCATTTTTCCACTTACATACATGTGTACACATTGGCCATTCTTTCTGGTTGTTGGGCCATTCTTTTTTATGAATATCTTTTAAAATGCCCAGATACCTTTCTCTGTGTTTTAATTATAAATGTAGAGAATGGACAAGATTCATTTTTAAGTTTTTTGGTGATATACCGTACCTATTTTGTTTTCTTGTAACTTAATACTGTAATTGCATCACAAAATTTTAGTGATCAGTTTTCTGTCAATAAAGTTAAAGATCTGCCAGATGGTTCTTTATTCTTTGCTATACTCTGTTGTATTTGGTGGTATAAAGCCAAGACGACATTTTAGAACAATAAGAAGAAATAATATCTCAGGATCTATTATTTAATATGCCATTGTAGTAAATCAGGTTGTGCTATAGACTGACTCAGTTAAGCAGTTGGAAGAAATCTGAATTCACTTAGTAAATATTTAATCGAAAGTTTATCATGTTTTGGACACTGTTCCTTACATGTTTCTTTACTTTCTTGAAGTTTACATTTGATTAGAGGGACACCACAAACAGAACAAGTAAATAAAGTGTAGTATGTTACATAGTGGTAAGTACGAAGGAGAAAAATAATCTAAGGAAAGTGAATAGGCAGTGTCAGGTGAATTGCAGTTGTGGATAGGATGACCAGGGAAGACTCCTCAAGAAGATGACATTGGTGTGAAAATCCTACCTGAAGAATAATTATCAAAGTATATGATTTTATATATGTCTAATTCCTTGCTTGTTTTTTAGTAAATTACCAACATATTTGCTTTAAACTATGTTGCACCCTTAGTTAGATACGTATCTTTGGGAGAGTGCATGTTTCTTTCTAGAGCATTGAAATAATATTTATGCTTTTAGGGCCCTAATTATGAATAACTTGAGAATAATCATAGGTGGTAGTCTAGTACTCCAATATCTATAGTAACTTTGCATTGCCAATGGGTAAGCTCCCAACTTGCTTGCCATAATAGTCCTAGCACCTTTGCTTTTCCATCCTTTTCTCCACCTTCTCTTCCAGGAATTCTAAAATTCAGCCAGATATTTCTACCCTCATTTTTTTAATATGCTTTGTTCCCTTTTCATTCACTGCTTATCTGTTCACTGGTGTTCTCTCCACCAAGGCTAATCCTTCATCAGTTTCTATCTATCAATATAATGCTCTAGAAAAGTCTAGTAGAGTTGTCATTTCTGTGAAGGGAATCTTTCCTTATTATCTCACTATAAACATCTCTGTATTTCTAGTATTTTTATGGCATTGTTACTATGCTGCAAGTTTTTTGAAATCAGTTTTTTTTAAGATTAGTGTATTGGGGGTCTTTCTGTTTTTTTGTTGCATTTCAGTAAAACTTGACTCATAATCATGCATGAGTTTGTTTCCTTCCAGCATTTTTCATTGTTTATTTGATGTAGTGAAGTGTTTTAGAGTTTACAAATCACTTTTTACACTGCCATATTAAAAGTCTTAAAATTCTTACATCTATTAGAAATCCCCATTTAATAAAGGGGGAAACAGTCAGGGCTGTTATCACATGGGTATTAAGAGACTGTAATGTGGAATATCTGAGTATGGATCCTAACTCTTTCTCCTGTATTATCTCCCAGTATCTATTATGTAAGTGGATGGTAGATGCATCCATATATACAGTATAAATTTTAGTTATGATACATAACTAAAACTCATTAAGTGCCTGTTGTTTATCATTTAGTCTGCTGTGTACATTACATGGCTTAAGCATGTTTCCTTTATTTGAGTAATGAATTGTGTGTGTTTTTCCTCTTATCATTTAGATGAACTGAAGCACATTATTGGAGCTGAGACAACACGAAAAGGTATTCTTCGTGTTTTTGAAATGTTTCAGCACAACCAATTAAATAGGAGAATGGTTTATGTCTTCTTGGAAGGCTTTTTAGAAACCTTATTTCCACAGTATAAATTCCGTGAACTTTTCAACAAACTGCATTCACGGTCAAAGCAGATGCAGAAATATAAACAGAAACTTCAAACTACTCAAGCGCCTTCTTTACAGAAAAGGTGACACTCCAATCTATGAAGCTGGTGTTCATTTTGTCCAGGATTGATGGTATGGACAGATCTTCTGGGGCTTAATTCATATACTGTTGGGTCTGCACCAGTCTTTTAGTGTTTCAAAATAGATTATTAATACATCCATAAGACTTTGGTTCTTCTCATTCTCGTCTGTAATCCAGCCACTACCAAGAGAGATTTCTGTGTCTGAAATGATTTGGTGCATAATTTGCAACATTGAGAGGATACTGCCCCCATCTCATGCAAGAATGGAGTTGGTCTCTTCCATTTCAAACTAATCAGCATTCTCCAGTAATGACAGAGTGCCAGAGTGTATATACGAGAGCTAAGGAAAGCACAAAATCATGATTCAAATTGACTAATTTGTTTTAAAAGTTGGAGACGGCAATGTACGATTTGGAGAGAGGTTTTGCCTAATGATTCTGTAGGTCTGTGTCAGCATTTTGGTATCGTGTGGGTTAGCCAGGTGACTAATGATCTTTGGAACAACTGTTTCAGGTCTGGGAAAAGTGACAGAATGCCCTTCAAGTATGAAATAACCTTTTTGCTCAATTAAGGTTTTGTGACATAAAGTAAGACAGTATAAAATAAAACCAATCAAAAACTGAATTTGGTTAGGTTTATTATTCATTGGTATAGAACAGATTTTAACTAATTCTTCTGTGCTATAAGGGCTCTCTTTTGCTCTTATGGTACTCAGTTGTCAAGTGTTCTTTTGGCATTCTATGTGCAAAAAGAAGCATGTGGTAGTTCTCATTTAAGTTTCAAAATTACTAGTTTTATCTTTTAACAGATTACTGATTATACAGGAGGGATTAATTTGTTGGAAGAACTGCCAAATACATTCTGTTCTTCTAAAAATAGGCAAATTAAAAGAAAATATTACTCTATTGGAAGTTACCATATGATAATTTTAAATTGTGTGATCTAGATATGCCTTAGATAACTACAAAAATAGCAGATCAGAGGATTAATGAACTTGTTAGTCATATGTAAAAATACAAATTCTTAATTCTATTATGTGTACATATATAAAAATAAATAATGAAAACAACTATTATTTTTAAAATATGCTTTTATTTATATTTCGCATAATGTAAAATTCTAAATAAAGCTAGTATGCAAAACCCCTTGGTGTATTACATTTAAGTCCCTAAAATAATTTTATAACAACAAAACAAAATACTTTTTCCAGTTTTGAAGCCTCTGCAATTCCTAATTTTTTCTTCATTATGTCCATCTTGATAGTCTTCATATCCCTTGTATGCAGAATTTCTGCATCATCTTAAATATTTCCATTGACTAAATGTTTGGATGTACCTGCTTTTTTTTGTTTTAAACCTATTTAACACTAAAACCTTAAAATAGTGAAGCTACTTCTCAGAACACTGAGCCAGTATCCTGGTATTAAAAGAATGTTTGGGTGCTTCAGATAAAGGGACAGAGTATTGGTATCCCAGTTATTTGGGAGCTTTAAGATTGGAACAAGGCATTAATGTCTTGTTTTCACTTAGATCTTACGTACAAAGTGAAGCCTATTAACAGAAAAAAAGCCTTCCTTTAAAGCTTTATAATAATCATATTTATTAATAATGCTGTTGTGCATACTTGTAGTATGCAAATATCCAGCATGTGTTGCATGTCTTCAGAATTATATAAGTGAAGTCTCTTTCACTGCAACTTACAAGTGAGAAAAGGTTCTAGAAGCTCTGGTGAAAGACATATTTCTTCTACTCAGTGTATCTCCCTGCCCCAGCCCTTCCCTGTGCTTTAAAAGTGGGATATGTTAAACATGTCTGTAGGAAGCATCAACATTACCATAAGTGCAATGATTTTCATATATACCCCTGCCCATTTGTATATTTTTGACATGAATAAATCTAAATGTATGTATACAGAAGAATTCATGTAAGAGCTTAGAGTGTACATGTGAACAACCATTTCTGTATAATGTGAAGAAAACTGGCCTTCAAACCAGGGAAAAAATGGTCATGTAAGGTTGCAAATTTCCTAGTAGAGCCCTGCAAGAAAACTGCACTCATACCAAAAATTATTTGAGTAAATGGATTTTTAAGGTAATACTTGTTTAAAAGAGTTTATATTTCAAGAACAGAAATGTCAAATGGTAGTCTGTAACAGTGGTGCATCTTCTCTATGCACATCTGTGTTTTACATCAGAGAGAGCCGTGGTCATGCTAAAATTAGAAATACTTTTTGAATGACTTGGTCAAGCTGTGTGTAAAATATTTAACCCATGAGTCAAGTACAGTGTACTATGATTAATATTACATTTGATGCATTTATTGCATATATGGATATTCATGAAAAGGCTTTATGTCTCCTGATATTTGATTTTTGAATGTGTTTTTAAGTCAGTGGTGCCTTTAGGCAAAAACCTTCAAAATTAATCATTCTTTGTTTGGGTGTTCTGATTTAGGAGGTAACATGTAAACTACTTAGAACCATAATAGTTTATTCACCTAAAAATTGATTGTATGATTTAAATATAGCACTGAGATGAGCATTTCCTATAATTAGGGTGTTCCTAATAGTTGCTAAAAACAATTGTGCCATTGACCAATGGATGCACTTGGTTAGCCTTAATTTTTTTAAACAAAAAAACATTTAAAACTTTCTTGATATTTCAGTTAGCTCATTTTAAGTTTGTGCTGCTGGTGTTTGGATAAAATAAAACAGTTAAGTGCTACCAGGAAGTGTACCAATTTTTAAAAAAAATAACAGTATAAATTTCACAATCTAAAATTTTAATTTTGTGCAATATTTTCATTTAATGCATGTGTATTTGAGTAATTGTAAAATAAATGAATTTTTAATGTTTTGAGATATAGTTTAAACTATCTTCTTAACCCCAACAACTTACATTCTGTTGTTGCTGCATCCTCTTATTTAAGGACTTGTTTTAAAAGTCTTTTTGTCACTCCTTGTAAAGTACTAAATTTTGCTTATAGGAGCATGGCTCCTGTATTACAAGGGAAAAAATATAAAGAGCACATTTTAGGACTATAATTGTTAAAAGATACCTTGTGCATATCATTGTACAGTGAAGTGTCAACTGTGTGCCTAACTGTTCTATCAATACTTTCCTTCTTTAACAAAGAAGAAACAATCAGAATATCAGTTATTTTTATTAACTAAAAAGATTAAAAATTTTATTTGGTTGGCGTTATGTTCTGTCCATTAGAAAATACTAATAAAGTATTAACAAACAGTTTTGTTGTTTATTTAGTAATATACTTTTGCTTTACTTTAAAAAATGTTTGCTCAGTAGTCTTTATTTTTATGATCTGTGTGTATTTTATTTTTATTTTAGAAACTGAGAATTTCAAGTTCCAGGATGGTATTTGATGAGCTGTTGAGCTATTGAGTGATTACTTGTGTTACCTGAATTTAATTTTTCCTTTTATAGTACAAATACTTTACTACCATGATGTTAAAGAAACTTCATATTTTCCTATCATGTAGAATTATAGTCCTTTTCCCATAGATAGAAAGATCTACAATTAGGTAATCCACACAGTTTTACTTAATGTCATTTTAAATTCATGTTTTGACTATTTGAGATACTTTCTGTTCTAAAATGCAGATTCAGCACTTAGCTATGTATCAATGTCTTGTTCGTCATAATATTCATAGTCTTCTGAGAGTGGTGTCCACAGAACTTCTCAGACCTCAGATATGACAACTGCTACCTCAGCAGGGAATAACTTACACAGGACTCCCTACTTATTACACACTGAATTATCCAAAGTGCAAAAATGTTCCTTCATAATTAAAATTATATCAAAGGCTCTGAGAAATCTGTTTAACTTTGCTTATTTAATTTTCCAAACTTTGTTAACCATAGAATGTTTTGACTTAAACAGTTTGAGGGCCATGTTCCCAAGGAATAACGTTTGAAAGGTATTAGTAGGGGAGAAAAAAAGTTGTAACATCTTTAAGGAATATAAACTAGATTGAAAAATTAATGAATTTACAATACAAAGATTTGTTTTTAACCTACTGTTAGATAGAATATTCAGTCTTGGGAGGAAAAGGGAAAATGTGGAAAGTTAACAGCCAGAGCAAATATTAGAGCTACAGCTTGGCTGTGAGTACCAGGATAAGAAACTCAGTGAGGAATGATAGGATGCTTTTCATGAGAACTGGGAAAGGTACTTGCCAAGGATTTTGTTGATGTAATCAAAACAGTGGTAACTAGAAACTGCAAGAGGAGCAAAGAAATATGCATTTCATTCTATAGGATGTGTGTGTGTGTGTGTGTGTGTATGTGTGTAAAATAGCATATAATATATTTGATACTCATGTTTTTACCAATGCAGTGTATGGGAAATGTGTAAAATGTGTAAATGATAATGGACTTTTACATACCAGGTGGTAATGGTTTTTTACATATCAAAAGTGGAATGAAATAATAACACAAAGGAGTTAGAAGTCCACCCAGACACTTCCATACTACTTCATTAAAGGATTCACAGAACTCAGCAGAAAATCATACAGCTAAGATTTATTGCAGCAAAAGAATATGATCAAAGGAAAAAAGGTGCATTGGACAGAGTATGGGAGAAACCAGGCTCAAGCTTACAACCATACTCTCCCAATCAAGGGACACAAAATGCTCTTAACTCCCAGCAAGGAGGTGGGACAATATGTGAGAATTGTTCCCAACCAGGAAAGCTTATTTGAGACTTTAGGCCTATGGTTTTTTATTTGGAGTCAGATCATTTAGGCACTCTCTGCCTGGCACTTAAGAAAAGCATGTCTTCAGCATGAACCGTAATTTTGTACATTTTAGACTTAATGAGCTATTTTTAACAGTTTGGGGAATTAATGGGAACACTCCTAAAATCTAAGTTCTGAGACACCTGAAAATGAGGCTCAACCTTGTCAGCAGGCCTTCTTTCAAAGGACAACAGCCAAGCCACTTCTGTTAACTCTTCTGCACAACTGTATACTTTGATCCAAAGAAATGGCTAAAATTTAGGTGTGGATAAAAGGAAAGAATATTCCATTGATATGGATATTGCAATCCAGGAATCTGGAGGAATGTATTGTATATTTCCAATAAAGGTTATTAGAAGGTGCTCACACAGAACTTAACTCATGTGGTCTGGTTCTTGCCATGGTTTCTTAAGACTGGCACTATTGATATTTTGGGCCACGTAATTCTTTGTTAGGAGCTATGTTTTGCACTATATTTACAAGTATCCCTGGGATCAATACATTGGGCAATGCCAGTAGTACTTCTCTTCCCCTAATTACGACAACCAAAAATATTTCCAGACATTGCCAAATGATGTCTGGGGGCACAATGGCTATTGGTTGAGAACTTATGTAAACTCTCAGTTAAAAGCAGGATAAAGTAGGGACTGAAGTCTTCAACTCTGGATATCTCAGTGTCTTTTCTGTTTGAACAAATTGTGGCTTGCCCCACAGGGAGAATGTAAATGTAATTCCCAAACTCTGCTTTGAAAGTGGGGTGGGGGACGGACTACTACAGCAAAACTTTTAAGCATTTTGCCTTGCTGTTATTTAAGTAAGCATTCCGTAGGAAGGAAAAGAAAGTTGTTTCCCAAGATAAAAAAAAAAAAAAGTAGTTTTTTGATGTCTTTGGAAATGTGTGTTCAGTGATTACATGAAAAAAAATATGCCGTTTGTTTTTTCCCTAACCAGGTTGTTAACTGAGTAATTTTGGTACTCTTAATTTACTAACATTTGTACATGTGGAAGTTTTCTTTCAATAACTTTCTTTCAAAAAAAAAATTCCCATTTTATTTGTAAGTCAGCCCTGATAAAGCCTGAAAATTCCCTTGTAGTCTTCTTAGCAAGTAAACTGTCTTCTTAAATGCTCTTGTCTCTTAAATTTTCCTTTGACAGGTGGTTGGTACACTGGGATGCTATGTGATTCCAGTTCTAAGATGGCTTTGCCTATGAAATGCCCCTCATTGGCCACCAGGAAAACCTGGTCTCCAGGAATGAACCTCTTTAAACAATTAGAACTTGTGCTGTTGCTGAATGTTTTTAACCTCTCCCCC